ACCTTAGTTTGCATTTATAAACACATTCCTAAAAATTGTCTGATTTCCCTGTTTCTAACCAATTTTTCTGATGATATTTGAAGTGATAAGAAAGGGGAAAAAGGTGACATTTTCAAATTGTTATCAACTTAAATATGTAGCTTTGCACCTTGAGGAAAAGCATGAGGCAAAATCTATAAGGTTCTTCTCTTTACTGAAGTAAGTGACAACAGGATTTGACTCCCTAAGTGTCCTTTTTCTTGGTAAAAACAACACAAACCCTGCATAAAGATACTGCTTAGGATCTAGGATGATTCCAGAAATAACTGCAGACTCAGAGCTGCTGAATCTTGTTTTCTCCAGAGAAGGAACTGGTTTCTAGATGTGGAAGTTTATCACAAAGGCTTGGGCTGCCGTGTGGCTGTTGGGGGCTGGGGGCTGTTTAGGCTGGCCATTACCAGGAACAATAAACTTGTAGAAATGATATACAGAAGGGACCTCAAGGGGAGCATTTCAAACAAAGCTTTCAATCTAACACTTACTATGAACACTGAATGTAGTAAAGCACTCTGCTTTATTGATTTTTCTGCTAATTCCACAAATTATTTCTTAACCCTGTCCCCTCACAAAGTGCAAATCCAGCTTGTGGTTTTCTCAAGTCCTTCAAACATGCTTATGTGGCATCTGTAGCTAATTAAAGCTACTGGTCATACAGCACAGAGCAAAATCCCAGTTGATGGCACTTGCATGATACAGTTTTCAAAAAACTATTAACATAACTACAATTTTTTAAAATTATGTGTTCCTATTTTACTTATGAGATCACTATGAGAAACAATGTGAAACTTAAATCAAGGCATTTCACACTTATTGCATCCCCATTGCCTGCTTTTCTTTGATACTAGGTAAAAAGAAAAGAGATTAAATTTATTTGTCACTTTCTCTTGAAAAAAAAAATCTATGTTGATTATCACTTTATGAAAATTCACAAATGATTGTTGGATTTGTTAGTTAATAATTTAATTACAGTATTAGAAACATAGTGATGTTTTCACACTTTTCTCTCTCCCCCTTTCCCCTCTTAAAATAGAGGGTTTTTCCTAGAACTTCACAGTCAACGAGATAGCTCACAATTTCCTTCAGATAGTACCTTGAATCCATCTGATCAATTTTCACAAGGATGTAGAGGCTTGAGATAAATCCTTTAATTTTTTTCTCCATGATCGTGGCCTATGTTTTATTACAACACTCCAATTTATTTATATTTAGAAAAAATTTGGTCTCAGTGAATCTTTTTAAAAAAGAGAGGAGCAAATGGGATTGTGAATACATCAACCCTCCTATGTGTGTCTGTTACTTACTTTCCTTCCCATTAAGCAATAATCCTATCTGCACATTGATTTTTATTACTTCTAACATGGTCACAGACACTTCGATTGCCTTTTTTATCCTTTGCCAGTTGTAACTGGTTTTGGATGCTTTATAATGTCTGAACACAAAGCAAAGAAGAATAACTATACATAAGCTTCTAAAGCAAAATACTTCTAGCCAAACAATCCAGCTCAGTGGAGGACAGTAAAGCTTCTCATTCTGTGGCAGACAGTAAGGCATCTGCCTGCATATCTATCTATCTATCTATATCCAAATAAAGTAATAAATTTGGAATGGATATTCAGGAACACCATCAGTCTATGTACCCTCTTATAAAAAGGCATTCTCCTTTTTAAAAATCTGTATCAGAAAAACACTGTTGATTTTTATAATCAAAAATGTAAGTTCCAATTCAATTTTAATTAAATATTTTTAAATCACTGAAGTGAATCAGTACATAAGTAGAGCTCTTAGTGTTACATGCAAAGTTTGATTGAAAATAAAAATTAAAAGTAGTACTATTGATATTGTTTTCCCTTCTGTAAAAAATACTGCTATAGGCATTTGAAATGATTGTGGCCATTCCTACAGCACATCACCCTATTTCAGCATTGTGTGAGCACACACGCCACTGTGAGCAGGCACGACCACACCCACATGCTACAGATTTTGGTTCTTAAAAGGTTGTCATACAAGTTCACACAAAATATATGAGTTGAGCTGTAATAAGCAACACGACTCGATTCCGTATTGTATTTACCATGGGTTTTACTCTTGTTTTATGAAACAGAGGATGCTTACTGTGGAAGATGTGAACTGCATCTGTGTGAACTGGCAGAGAGGTGCAAGATGTCAGTACACCCAGGCATCGAACAACATCCGTGTCGTAGGCGCCGAAATCGCTTATTTTGTAGAAGTTCTTATGGTAAGAGTGTTCTGTATACAAAGCTATAGCTATAACACTGATTTGAAAGAAATACGGTACTGGAACTTCCATGAATGTGGATGTAGCCAGCAGAAAACAATCTTCTACTCCACGATAATTTCAGTTGTGCTGAAACCAGACCTTTTCTTAAAAGAGCTGTTCTAGACAACCTAGGGATAGGAATTTCAACAAGATATTCCCACAGTACAGCCAGGCAGAAATAATGGACAAGGCAAACTGCTTCTTTATGGAGACAGAACCTACCAAAATCTACTAAAGAGCTCCTAAGAATGCCAGAAAATAAGCTGCCAGTCAGCAGAGGCTGGAGGACAACCACTCTCAGGGAGCAACAGTGGCTGGGGACAAGCAGGACCCACCAGGGAAAGCCATGGTGGACAGTACCCAACTCTACAGGAGGTGCCACATGCCCACTTTTGTAGGCAGCTTCACATGGGAAGTGATGCTTGGTTTGAAGCCTTCTTTTAATCTAATTGTTTTCAACACACATTTCCCACAAAATAACTATAAATTACTAAAAACAGAGAGCATGCTGGGTCTAAGAGTGCTCTGACCCATGTCTCACTCTCTACATCTGCACTGCAGCTCCTGAGTTACTGTCCAAAAATCCTGAGGGCATCTCTCGTCTCATGTTCTCCCCCAGCTGCATGTGGTGCCCAACCTGTCAGGTGCAACTCAGAGTTCCTCCCTGGCTGACTCTCATAAGCCAGATAAGCATTCTGTGAATCTTAACAGGCCTAGAATGTGACACAGGCACAGAGCCTCTCAGAACAGAACTGTCTAGAGCTGTAACAGCCTCCAAAGGCAGGGAGCACCTGAATAAGGAGTTTTGAAAAATCTATGTATTGAACATAAGTAACTATGCAGGCAAACAGATGCTGAAATCTTATAAGAGTTCCTTATAGGAGAGGAGTCAGTGGTCCAATTAGAACTAGTTTTTCAACCCCTTTTTTAGTCTTCCCTACTGCTGATGAAAAGAGATGTAGCAATTTTTCTTTGTTGTTGTTTTCCCAGGACGAATACGGATACTCTCCGGCTGACGTCCACATAATCGGGCACAGCCTTGGAGCACATGCTGCTGGTGAGGCTGGCAGGAGGAGGCCAGGGATTGGAAGAATAACCGGTAAGTCAGTGACTTCAGCCACCAAACAAAATGTTGCTGCTCATTTTCTCTTCTGGTTTTACCCATGGGCTGCAGGGTAGTCAAGGTAATTTGAGTATTACAGAGCTCAGCCTCTTATGGTACACCAAGGAGTAGCGCCCTGATAAGCGTGGGAAAACAGTCGGCATGATGATTATTTTGCTTGCTCATGTGTTACACAGCAAAGGAAATTTTCTAACATGTTCAGCCCTTCCAGAGGTAAAGCTATGGATTTGATCTCCTTATTCATCACACAGGCAGCACCAAGGGCGTTGTGCATTAAGCAGAGTGACCTTTCATGCATAAAAGACAATTTTGGATATTATTAACACAACCCTTTTCAATTGGTTACTTTTCCTCAGGGATTTCAGGCTTGGTGAACCTTGGACTAATAGTCTACAAAAGTCAGTTTAAAAGCAAACCCTAATGTGTTGCCCAGGGACAAGAAGAGATGCAACTATAAGTTGGCAAAAATTGTGTAATTTGCAAGACTTTACAAGCTCCTGAAATTGCTGCAGCAATGTGGGAAGCAAATCAATTCTATTTTCTGCTAGGCTCAAAAGCCAAGATCGTCATTTCAAAACAAGATGTTTTTCCCAAAATCTGACTGGAGCCAGAAGTAGGCAGGCAGGTTTCAACACCTTCAAACACATGGGGTGCTATCAGCTGAAATTCCTCTTTGAGTACTCTCAAGCAAGGTGGGCTAGAAACCACATGAGTTATATGGGATGCAGACACAGCAACCTCAGTTTGAACAACATTATTAAAGGGAAGTTCAATTAAATTAAAAAAAAAGTTACTTCCAAGGGTTGGGATTCAATATTGGTGTAAATATATAAATTAGTAAAATTTAACAGGTTTCACAAAAGTAACCCCTTTGACTTCCTGGAAGAAAAGCCACTTGGTAAGAGAGAGCACACATCATCATTTCATTAATGCCTATATTACCTAGTATGAGAAACCCTAGGCAACTGTATATTGATAATCATTATATATAATCAATCAGTGTTATGTGAAATGATTCTACATCTACTTCTCTTTATCTATACATAATGCTAGTCTTTTTCATTCAGGACTGGACCCTGCTCAACCTTATTTTCAAGGCACTCCAACTGAAGTCAGACTGGATAAATCTGATGCAGACTTTGTTGACATTATCCATACAGACTCAGCTCCCACAATCCCCAACTTAGGTGAGTATTCAGGTCTACTGTATTAATACTGAATTATTTATGCCCTATGGCACTTAAGTAGTCTAATTGTTCATCAAGACTGTTGTGCTGTCACAGACACAGAACGAATACACCACACTGGTCACTAACAGCTCCTAAAACACCATGCACAGACAGACTTGAAGCCAGCAGCTACAGGTATGAGACAATGTTAATTTAAAGCATGCTTACCAGTGTTTAAAATGCTTCAGGTTTTGGCATAAGACCAGCAATAGGACATATTGACTTTTATCCAAATGGAGGAGAGGAAATGCCAGGGTGTGGGAAGAACGCTGTCTCACAGATTGTAGATCTCGATGGCATCTGGGAAGGTAAGTATGTTGATTCCATTACAAATTCATGGGTATGTCACCTGTCTCGGTGTAGCCACTTAACTTTCTCTAATTCAGGTGTTTTGCACTAGCTCTTGGTGTGTCCACCGGCAATGGCAGCTGCAGAGCACAGCAAAACTATTAATAGGCTCAAAACACACAATTTTTCAGAGCTCATTAAAAAATAAACAAGACAAAGGGTTTGCCTTTGCAAAATATGTCTCCTCTAAAGTATCTGATAGCAGAAACAAAAGTTACTGGAACTGTGCCAAGAAATTTAGAAAGGCCTGTGGCACACATTGCACTTTGTGTCTAGTTGCTCAGCAGCAGCGGTGGTGGAGTAGGGCCAGGATGTTCACAGATGCTCCTGTTAGTGTATCTTCAGCTGAAATTTTTCTTCTGAGATAGAACAATTAATTTAACTCTTTTTTAAGTTACTGATTACAATCCAAGTTGCCCTGAAGTGATGTTATTGTGTCTACTTTTAGCCAGCTAAAAAAAGATCGGCACATAGCTGCTCAAATACGCTGTTCTTTGTTGTTTTATATGGCTCTAATAAAACCTCTGAGTATTACAAAATTTCTGTCTATCTACTTAAATTGTACATAATGTTAAAAAAAAATAAAAAAGAAAAAACCAGAAGATTTCTGCTGTGGAGATTTTTCAGTATATTATCTAAGGTCTTTCTTATACTACTGCAAACACCTTCCTCTGGGAATCCATGAACTGATTTGTGATAACAAGCCTTTTACTCCATCTTTTATTAAATGCAGCTGGAGGCATTACTTTTTCTTTCTCCTTTTTCTTGGATAGAGTAAACTTGTTATTAATAGTGGGGAATTAAAGCACAAAGAAATAACTGCATTGTATATGATCTTCTTTTTAACCTAAAGATAGGAAAGTAAAGGCAACACAAAGAAAAATAATATATTCATTAATTTAATCCTAAGAATCTCCTTTCTTATGCACCCCCAAATAATAATTTTGTTTTGAAGTCCTCAGCTGAGGCAAATCAGCATTGCCTTAGGAAGTTCACTGTTAAATACTTTTCATTTGTTTTCCTTTTGTTATGGTAATGCAACTGTTGCCTCATGCAGTTCTCATTTCTATTTAAACTCGGTCAGATTGCACGAATGAGTGGGTTTTGGGGGGCAGGGGCTGCACTGAGCTGCACAGTCAGTCTCCACAAAGCATTTCAAGTTTGCGTTTTATACCTGTTGAGTCAGTGACATTCCTTAGGGCATCAATTCCCCAAAAGTAAATAAGTAAGTTTCCAACTTTATGTTTGATGCTCCAAGAACTGTACTAAGGCTTTTGTGCAGGAGTGATGCATCGCAATCACAGGGCAAGGGCTGTGCTGGTCTCTTTCCTAGAAGGGTAACAGAAAGGAAGAACTAACCTGGAAGCATCTCTTCACAGGAACTCGGGACTTTGTGGCTTGCAATCATTTGCGGAGTTACAAGTATTACTCGGACAGTATCATCTACCCTAATGGCTTTTTAGGCTATCCTTGTGCTTCATATGATCTTTTTCAATCAGTAAGTATCTCTCAGAACTTCAGGATGCACCTTATTGAAAACAGTGGCTCTTATCTCTGCATCTGAAATTCAATGTATTTATGCTAGCTTGCACCCAATGAATGTATCTGTAAGAGGAGTAGCTGTCAGATGTCCAAAAGTGTTACAGCTTGTGCAGATGACACAGGTGAAAGTAGGAGAAGGCAGTAACAGAACAGGGGCATATCTAGTTTGGTGCTGGTGTGGCAGCCCTGAAGTACTACTGGAGCCTGTGTGGTGGCTTCCTCAGACCTGCTCCTCTGCATTGAACTGGGGAAGAGGTAAAGAGAACAGGCTGTCCCTGTAATGGCCAAATGTATTTATCAAGAGCAAGGACTGTGATCCCATACTGTAGCAGGCAAGCTTTCAAACACAGGTTAGGTTTCTTGGGTTTAGAACAAGAAGTAAAGTAATATGTGATAACCTGTAGTCCTTTGGTGACTGAAGATGGCTCCAGGGACAAAGCAATGCTTTATGGACCAAGGTCAGGAAGCCCTTCCCTGTCCCAGACTGGGAGACAAAGAATTACAGCCTAAGAGCACCAGGAAGGTGACAGGCTTATCATACTCTACAAGCAGCACAGACAGAGGTATAAACTTGCACAGCGCTTAGATCAACCTTTACACATTCTAGCGGGTGATAGAGATCACACTTCTCAGATTGCTTTGGGAGAAGGTGACTACCTGCTTCTGTCACCATACTAGAAAGCTGCTTTCATGATATAAGCAAGGTTTGTTTTCGATACAAAGCCTTCCTTGACCCAACCTGAAGCTATAAGGAGACATCCTTCTTTCTCATCAGTTGCTGGGAAGGACACCTCTCTTCCCTGCTCCAGTTCAAGACTACTCAAGATTGGCACTGATGTGGCTGGATTGAACTAAATGGCCCAAGAAGCAACACAGAGCCCTGAAAAATCAGAGCCTTTGAGAAAGTTGGCTAGCTCCCATGATCCTTCTCAAGTCATAGAAAGGGTTACTTGAAATCTGTTGCTGTGATACAGGGCCAGTTAGGTGGGTATATTAAAAATATGTCCTGCGACTAATTTTTTGTTCTTGGCTGGCTGGATAATGTTATTAATAGATATATTTGTTTTCACTAGGGAAATTGTTTTCCATGCCCACAAGAAGGATGCCCAAATATGGGTCACTATGCAGACAAATTCAAAGGGAAAATTACGGAGGACGTTTTCAAATTTTACCTGAATACTGGAGAGGCCAGGGATTTTCCTCGTGAGTTTTGATTCCTTCCATTGCTACCTACTCCTTGTAAAAAATGGTTTAATTTTCCTGCTTTACAATCAATTTTAACAGATGAACAGGTCTCAACATAGTGCAAGGGCTCTTCAGTTCTTCATGCTTTTTCCTGTTTTGCTCCAACACTACTGCCCAGTTTGGGGCCCTCCAGTACAAGAAAGTTGTTGGCAAACTAGAGAGTCTAGTGCAGATCACTGACATGTTTAGTGGATTGCACTACAAGGTGCAAGGAGAGGAAAGGATAGGCAATGCACGCAAGTTGCATCAAGGGAATTTCTTGTTAAGTAGTATGAAAATCACAGTCACAATGACAGTGGCTAAAGGCAGGAAGAGGGGTCCAGAGAAGCTGGGAAATCTCCACTTTTTAGATGTTCAAAACTCCATTTGACAAAGGCCAAGAGCAAGCCAATCACAGCTGAACTGGTTTCAGAACTGGATGGACCAAACGAACCTCATTTACAACCTTAGTTATCCTAAATGTCAGCTCTCAAAACACAGTTCTTCCTTCACCTTTGTAAACACAAATCACAATCTTCTCAAGCTGCTTTTGCTTATTGCACACTGAAAGAAATCACCCACCCAAAAAATAATTTTCTTTGAGCTTCAGGATTCTTTTACACTGCTTAGATTCTGTATTGATTCCTAACATGGCCTTCTTTCCAACATCAATGTGTATGAAATCCTTCAAAATGCTGAAATCTATATTGTATTTACTATGGTAGGGACCAGTTTTCTCTTTTTTCTTTTCCAGAAAGTAACACAAATGTCTGCCATTCCTGATATTGATCTCATTAGGACATAATGACATACCTGACTCATTGGTGTTTTGTATCTTCTGCTTTCAACTACTGTGTACAGACAGGAAAAAAATAGACAAAATGCTGGCATTTGATATTTTAGAGACTGTTTCTCCCTGGGTACAGCCTAACTTACTGTATTTCTTCTGTATAGTTTGGAGGTACAAAGTAACTGTGACCCTCTCTGGAAAGAGTAAAGTAAATGGATATGTAAATGTTGCCCTGTATGGCAGTGATGGGAACACGAAGCAGCACCAGGTCACCAAGTAAGTTAATTATTCAACAGAAAAGAAACTTCTCTTCTAGAATATTTAATTCATATTTTTAATTAATAATTCTGTTTAAATTGATCTTTTTTTAGTGATCAAATTCTACCACTGATGTAAATGTAGCAATAGTTCAGTCACTCTGGGTTTACACTTGAAGGGAAAAGGTTAAAATGCAGGATTTTAAAATATCAGAATTTGGTGTCGCTTGCTTGCTGTTCCACAAAGGACTTGCTGGACCTGCAATAGGAGAGTTCTGATCTTTTTGTCTTGCACAGGCTTGTAAAATGTTGCCACAGTTGCTTTCAGCTAAAGTTACCTTATGATTTACTATACAAAAAAATCTACTTTTTGTTGCTCATATCTTTCCTGCTTATACTGAAGCTGCTTCCTTGCCTCTTGTGGTTTTTGTTTATTTTCATTTTTCTTGTTTGCTTCAACCAAAATATTTGAAATTATGAAAAATATGGAGAAGGCATTTTGATGTGAGGTTTGGATTTAATTCTTTGCTTTTTTTACTTATAACTATGTCACTTCCACTTTTCCAAGGACTTCACATCCTCATGCCAGCAGAAGGTGTGTGCTATGAGCTGATCTCAGTTCACATGCATCCATGCATTCACCTGGGATGAATCTGGCAGATCTGGCAGTATGGGATGCACTCCAGCCCTCTCTAGCTTTGTAGGACCTGTTTCAATACGGTTGCTGGATGTGAAGTTCTTTTCTTCTCCAGCAAAATTTGCTGTATCCTACCAGGCACCACTGTGGATCCAGCAGAGGAACAAAAAGGCAGACAGATTTTGTTCTGTCTCTCATTACTTCCACTACCATGAGCCTTTTAATATGGAGGGGAGTAAACATTCTCCTCTGCAGGCAGATGCAGGAGTGAGTACAAAGCTAGGGGGAGGAATGAAAGTCCTGTCTTTCTCATGAAGCTTGATAAAACTGTAGAGGTTTCTTCTGGGTGATTCATTCAAATGTCTGCTGACAGGGGTAAATTTAAGAAAACAGAGTGTGGGTCTGAGAGAGAGCAAAGAAAAGGGTTGGAGAAGTATTGGCTAATGTTCAGTGAGATGCAGTAGCTGAAGCCTTTACCAGTCTCAAACTGCTGTCATTTAGAATTTGCTCTATTGGTGCGATATGAAGCAAGTAGTCAGATTATAAACCAGGGTTACCAGGAAGACATGGCCATGTTACTTGGCCATGTGTGGGAATCTCTGCTAGACAACCAGGCTGAGCAGCTAGTAGATAAACCTTCTGCCCATCCAAAACAAACCCAACATCTGCATCATATAAATTAACTAACATTAAATGAAAATTTCATCTATATGCAAAAAAATCCCTTCCCTACATAAGCAACAGGGAGCGAGCTCTACCACCTCCACAGGGATTATCCTCTAACTGGGTCCTCACTGTGAGGTGTGACTGCAGCATACCAGGCCCACCTGCCTCTGAAAAACACTGATTTGGGATTAATTAAGTTGGAAAATTGGCAGTAATATTGTTACCATATTATATGATAAATATTGTCTCTCTGTTAATTCTCTACTCATTTGATACCACAGCCAAGCCAATGAGAGGACTGGTAATTAATAGTAGATGCTGGCATGCCTCACATCCATAAAATGTTATTTTTCACAGGGGAACCCTCAAACCAGACAACACTTACACAGCCTACATCGATGCAGAAGTTAATATTGGAAAAGTTACAAAAGTTAAATTTCTTTGGAACAACAACTGGATTAATCCAACTTTGCCTAAATTAGGAGCTTCGACTATCACAGTAGAATCTGGACAAAATGGAACACAGTAAGTATATCCATTGTGAAAATCTTGAAAGTTACTTGAGAAGATAGGTGACAAAATTGTAAGTGGAGTGAAAGCCTTTTCACAACGAAAGCTATTTAAAGCATTAAAAGAAAAAGACTCTCAAGAAAACCTTTTATTTCCTTCCTTTCAAGACACTGTTCATCCATAGTTTGATTCACTACTACGTCAAGTCTTGACCTTAAATAACTTGAAAGAAAAACTTAAAATCTTTCCAGGCTTTAGAAGAGCAAGCTTCCTGTATAACTCTTTGGATGAGAAAAATTAGTGCTGGCTGGATTGTCAGCATCACTCTTGCCAAGCTCCACAAGAACTGCTAGTTTTTGTGTCAGATTCACAGTCAGCTGGGACCAGCAGAAGTATTCCATTGATATGGATGATTCTTGAGGTCATGATTGACAAAAGGGGATGGTGACAATAAGCCTTCCAATGAGGACTAGTACTTAGAGCCTGCACTTAAAGCCTCTCTATAAAATTGAAGTAAAGAGGCTAAAAGCGATTGCTCTAGACTTCATGGAATATGGCTTGATGTTCAGATTACAGAGGTAGGATTTACTGATCCATTTTTTTCCTGGACTTTTAGTAGTCCCTCATTTGCTTGTTCAGTTATTTTATTTTATCCACCCCATGATTTGGTATCTAGAACAAGAGGTACAGTGTAAGTTTTAGACCCATATACAAATGCACAGTTAAAATTCCATCACTTAAAAGACAATATGGGAGATGAAAACAATTTCAAGCAAAGAGAAGTGATTATGGCATCACTTTAACTTACCTTAAAGCAGAGATTCTGGGTCCAGTTTTAGTCTCTGTTCACCAAAGCACATCACTGATGAAGTGTATTCCTGTAGATAGGAACTCACTTTTCTACTGACTCATGGCCTATGTACAAGTAGTTGTGGTCATCTACATAGTGATGGTAGCACAAAATCTGGAAAAGAAAAAGAAACTAAAATTAAAGGAAGGCAGGCAGTAAAGCAGAATGGACACAGTCTATCAGTGCTTTCCCCAGAAGTAATATTTCAAACTTAGATGCTCAAAGTTTGTTCTGTCCATTTGTGTCAAATGACAAATCAGGTTGACTTACATTAAAACAAATCCACTTGTATAATCTCAAGAAATGTTGACAACTCAAGGTGCTTGCATTTATTTCTTCTTCAGATACCATTTCTGTGGGTCCGAGACCGTGAGAGAAGATGTTCTGCAAACTCTTACTTCTTGCTAACAGCACATCACCTTGCTACCAATAAAAGCTACTCATGCAGAAAACACTGGAGTCTGCAGTCCTAATACTGATGATATGTGGGGGTAATTTTGTTTGTTTGGGGGTTTTTATTTGTTTGTTTTGGCTTTGGGGGGTTTTTGGTTGTTGTTGGTTGGTTAGGGTTTTTTTGTCGTTGTTTTGTTTGTCTGGGTTTTTTTGTTTTGTTTTGTTTTGTTTTGTTTTGGGTTTTTTTGCTAGTTTGGGAGGCAGAGGTTAAGTCTATGGATATCTCTCTATAGATAGAATTTTTTTAATAGCTTTAGGAGAGAATGAGCCAAAACCTGTTAAGTGTTACCCTGCTTTCAGCCTGTTTTGAAATAATTTCAAACCAGAGGAAGAAAGGGGGCAGGTGACAGAATCTGGATAGTGGCTCCTGGGCAGTACCAAAAGAAAGCAGATCTGCTTGTGAGTAGGAGGAGTGGATTAAGGAATCTGATATTCTTTGTCAAACTGAAGGCTAAGCCCAGAATTAGCACGAGATAAAGATGAAAGAGAGATAGGAGGGGACGGTGAGAGGTTACAAAATGAGGACAGAAGTTTAAGTGTAATTATCTGTTAGAGATGGAATAGTCAACTTGATGGAGAATTGCAAATGTGTTTTGGGGTGTTAATGCTGAACTGAGCTCATACCATGCCCCATCCCTGGAAGTGTTCAAGACCAGGCTGGATGGGGCTTTGAGCAACCTTTCCTAGTGAAAGGTGTCCCTGCCCACGGCAGGTGGGCTGGAACTAGGTGGTCTTTAAGGAGCCTTCCAAACCAAGCTATTCTAGGATTTCTATGACCTAAACAGAATTATTTTGAGAAATCTGCATAGAAAATTTCAAATGTTAGTGAAGTTTCACTGAAATGCTTATAATCATAACAATCTCCAAAGTATTCTGAAATCCCTTATGCTGGGCCTCAGCCTTGAACAAAACTGCCGGATGATGGGATCAAAACAGGTAATGCAATGAGAGGATCAGTTCTTTCCATGCTTTCTGATAAACAGATTCAGCTGAAGTGTGGAGAGTTCATGAATTCATTTCTGGCCCTGTGTAATCCTGTCTCAGCTTCTTCAGCCTGCTGCTGGAGAAGCCAGCTGGATTGCCTCTGCTGCCAGAAGTAGTCCATCCTCACAGAAAAAATCCCATAGAACTGATGGAGATCTACCACTACGCAGACCTAACAGTCCTGGGGACCTTTCCTGCAGTTTCTTCTCGGGTTCCCCAGACTGGGGCGCTCTGGTCTTTCTGCCTTTCTGGTTGACCTTTCCTCCCCCATAACATCTTTTCCTGAAGGACATCAACCTCCCAGCAAGGCTTTAGATTCCCTGTGCGGTGGTGGAGGTTGAAACCAATTTATTCTGTGTTGGAGCACTACTCTTTTAATATAGAAAAAAACAGTGTTTCTTTTTTATTCAGTGCATTCTGCCAGCTCTTGAAGGGACATGAGGGCTGTAAAGAATAGAAAAGGGACCATCATCAGCATTGAAGATTAGCTACCTGTGGGCATGCTCTGAGCTGGAATAAGTTCCTTATGTAAAAGCCAAACTGCTCCTTGCTTTAACACAACTGAAGATAATATCTTCCAGCAATTTCAGTTTTAGTTAGAGATGTGCAGGATTGCTTTTATGTTTAAAAATTTTCTAAATTGCACTTGTGCCTCTTGCCCAGACTAAAAGGCACTATTTGGTTTAGATTAGATATAAGGAAGAAGTTTTTTACTTTCAGAATGGTAAAACACTGGCGCAGGTTGGCCTGAGAGGTGGTAGATGCCCCATCACTGGAAACATTCAAAGCCAGCCTGGACAGGGCTCTGAGCACCTTCGTCTAGTTGAAGCTGTACCTACTTATTTCAGGGGCGGGGAGGGGTGGTGAACTAGACAACCTTTAAAGGTCAATTCCAACCCTAACTATTCTATGATTCCACCCAATTTTGCTCCCTCAGGAGCATAGTATTGTTGCCTTAAGAGACCACAGAAAACAGGACTCCGAGCCAACTTAGTGTATAAGATAAAGAGAGCAGGCCCTTTGATCTCAGGCCTGAGGCCCACAGGAATACATATGACGCGTCTCCCCTTGTCCAGGGGTTCCACAATTTAAGGCATTATCCCAGCCAATCCCAGATCTATCCACCCCCAGATCCTCCCCCCGGCACACCCCTCTGGAAATTGAGGCAGGGGGCTCTGGGCCCCCCTCTTCAACATCTTCCTCTTCATCACAGCACATCCAGCCCTTGGAGTTCCTCCAAAGTTCTGGGTTTGAAGGTCACTTTCTCTGTGGGGTATCTTGTTGTTCAAGCCAGGGTGCAAATGTTCTCAAACAGAAAGAAGGCCTACCCTGAGGAAAGTCTAAACGTGCTAACGGAATTTAGAGGGATTGATATGGAATGGGGAAACAGGGTTGGGTAAATGCGTAAACTCCTGTGCTAAGGGTAAGCTAACTACAGCTACATTAAAATCTACAAAACGCTAAAAAGCCAGAAAATCCATAGGCATCAATATGAACCAAATTTTGATCTGCGGGATCTCCGAGTCTCTGAAACCTTACCCCAGGCAGGCTAACAGGGTACCTATACATATATGAAATGCTAAAGGAGACTCCCCTTGCTATGCTGTCATAGATGTGTGGGGTATTAAAACGCTAAGCCAATTTCTTGTCCAACTTCCTTCAAGAGGAAAGAACAGATGTTTTTTACCCTGATGATATTACTTGATTATTCCCCTTCTTACATTGTTTCTCTCCAGGTGCAGCTCCTCACGGCAGCAGCAAGTGCTGCAAGCACAGAGCAGAGTTCTCTTTGTGTGTTTTCTTCCCAGTCTACACTGTCCAGGAGGATGCTTATGAGCTGACACTTATTTTGGCTCCAGTTTTTTCCATATGTGGTCAGCCTTATAGTGGTAGAATAATACAATCAGGTTTAATAAATTCAAGGATGTGAACTGTTTATCCTGAACCAGGCTGTGCGAAGTCCAGCTCTGCATTGCTCCTTCAAAGCCTTTCTTGACTCTCCATGGCTGCAGTTGGTCAGGAAGAAGAGAATCCAGCCATAGGACTCTAGAGGCTTTCACATTTCCTTCGTGTCATCCAGTTCTTGGAAGAACACACATACCCTCTCCAGGGAGATGAACAGTGGCAAGTTTACACCTAGCCATAGACACAGGAGCACCTGATGCTGGGGTTTCATGTACCTCACACCCCCCTGACATTGCCTACTTCCTTCTGCCTTCACTGTTTGTCTCTTCCAGACACTGGCTTCCTGATCTCAGTACCTCCTGCTGAGGAAACCTCAACAGGGTTATTAACTTCCTAGCACTGTAGAAGAGTTTCTCCTTTGTCTTCTGTTCCATTGCCTTGGTATAAGCAGATTCTTGCCTACACAGTTGTTTTGACAGTTACGATATTCTCGGCATTATCCTTTGCCATAGCCACTTCAGCAACCCATGTAATTTTAACAAACACCTAACAGAATCAAGACGTTAAAGTTGACAATAGCATAATAAAAAATCTCCTTTTAATAATGAACTGGAGCTGCCGTCATCTTGTTTTAGCCGAGCAAAATCTCCCCCCTCTGAACATTTTACAAAGCTATTACATAAAATGCAATGTTAAATGAACAACAAATTACTTTCCCTTTAGCTAGCTTTTAATGCTAATGGTGCTATTTATTCCTGACCTTTTGAAATATTAGATATTTTAAATGACAACATAAAAAGAATTCTTGTTTGAAAACGCGAGCGACTTTAAACCACATGTTATTACTTGTAAGTATAGCATGCACATGCATCATTCATTTCAGTGTCCCATTTATGGCTAATTGGTATATATTTCAGTTGACATATATTGTTCTCCTGCAAATGTGTCAAATTCCTTAACGATGTTGGTGACAAAAGCAGAACGCTTGAGATATATAAATTACTCTCTTTACCATATAATCATTCTTATCTATTGGGAATGCTATTTGTGACAAATTGTGTTCAAAAATACACACTAAATTGATTATTTTTTTTGAACTTTAATATCACACCATTCATGGCAAGTCTTTGATTGAATCTTTAAATGTAGGAATGTTTTGATTTTTATCTGCATCATTTTGTAGCTTTTGAAAAGCTCACTTTATTTATTAAAGGAAGAGTAGCACAGCGAGGATCTCAAAATGTATCTTTTGTTATCAGCATAAGAAAACAAATGGGCTATAATTGTGGATATAAAGTGAGTAATTTGGTGAAAAATGCTTTGTGCTGTAGTTAAGGTTTTATAATTCCTGCCAGAAATTACTATTATTTTGTTGGTGGGCAGCATTGCAATCAGAATTTTAAATATGGGAACAACTCAGGTCACATATTTTTGTTACATTTGAGATTACCATGTGCGATGCATTTTTCTCCTATATTACAAATAATCTGAGAATAATAAAAAAAAAATAAATTGAAGATTTCATGTGGCTCTAATTATTACTGAGCTATACCAGAGCTCATTGTTGTCTTTAGACAATGCAGTCCACAGTCATTACTTTGTTCCGTAAATCAGTAGGATAATGAGGTTCTATCTTTCAAGAAATATTTGAGTGTATCTTAATTTGGCATTGATGAATTCTCTTTGCTGAATCTCTTGAGGGTTTTTTTAATCTAGTTTGTCATATTAGAGCTTTCATCACCCAGTCACAGCTGACAGTGTAATGTACTTGTATTTATTTCCATACCTTCCTGGGATGTGTCCTCAGAGGTTGCAAATAAGAATTTTATGATGTTATGCCTTGAAGGCTAGTCTTTCCTTAGTTTGAGTGTAAATCCTAAGGTATTTTGCCATACCCTCATACTTCAGAAATATATACTATGTATGGTTGTATTGAATTGTGGAAAAACAAGTCTAAATTTGTTAACAACTTGTTCTGATATAAACTGGGAACAATTTCTTTGACAAAAGGCATATTTACTAGAACAAAATACTTTTTTTGCCAAAGAAATTATGTAACTTCAGATACTCATTTTGTTTCCTCTGCAAACCCTCTCAAATCTGAAGACAAGAAAAGGGTAAGATGTATCCCCTTTCTTACTTGGTCAAAACAGGAAGCCTCAGAAGAGGGCAGAGGAAGAAAGGAGAGGGTCGGTGTGATGTTCCACAGCCCTGAATGAAAAAATACTTATAGTGACCTACATGACACTCACTTCTAAACCGTGCCTATATACAAACAGAAGCAAGAAGCAAAGTACTCTTTAAATGATGTCTAAATGTTGTATTCAATTACACAATAACATTTGAGTGGCTACTACCCTTGCTGGCACCTTGAAGACACGTGAGACCCAAAGACAAAAATTGCATTCAAGTTCCTCTTTGTGCTGTGACCCGTAGAATTATTGTTGTGGCACACATTCTATGGAAAATCTTACCTTTAATGGCATTATGTAGGTAATGGCTTCACATCTCACCAATTACAGAGGTAAAGGGGAAAAAAAGGTGGATCTAAACCTCCACAGTAATGCACTTCTTTACATAGTAATTTATATTATTAAAATTTTTATAACCTAGGTCTCGCTCTCATGAAAAATAACAGCAATGAACATTACTGGTGGCTTGGGTACCTCAGTTTTGGGGTGTGAAGTTCCAGACGCTGGATTCCTCTGGGAGTCCTGAATATCCTTTTTGGAGAGTGAGGTCTGCCCTGAGTGTGGTACCATTGCTTGCTTAGAAGAGGCTCTTCATTAAGGAGGAATATAGTCATCACCTTCATTACACGGAATGCAAAACACAAAGTAAGCATGTGTACGTTCCTGCCTGAGGTGACAGAAGAGCAGAAGCCATCCCCTCCTTCTCCCAACACAAAGCACTCTGTTTGCTGGCCACAGCCTGAGTCAGATGACAGAAACTCCCACAGGAACTGCTTAACAATAAATAAAACAAACTCTTGGTTTAGACTGACAACCTTTTCTGCACTGTCCTTAATTCCTCACTCAGAAGTCATCAGGAGAGGTGTGAAAGAAGTTGTCCACCACCTGCAGCTCTCACCAAGGTGCTCTCAGTTCCTCAGGGGGGTCTGTGGCCTGACCTCACATCTCTCTCCAACCTGTCTCTTTTCCCCTTTGCTTGCAGTTTGGAAATCAGTGCCTCTGTCTGTTTTACACCCCTGGAGAGGGACAGTAAATTAAGTGGGGAGTCAGCGAGGAGACTGTGTTTGCTCCCTCTGCACCCTCATTCTGCAATTATCCCTCTCTGAACCTGCATCTCCCAGAGAACACAGGAAGGGTTTGGGAAAGAAGGCTTCTGCCCCTCTTTAAAGAGAGACTGTAGGTCCTCAAGGCTTTTCTTTAATCCCAAAAGGCATTAAAATATCTTTGCTGGGTCATGAAAATCAGCCTCTCAGTCCCTCCCACGGAACCCGAATTACAAACCCTCTCCCGGTGCCTGTGACAGAGAGGTCACTGAAGGGCAGCTCCTGGCACCGCTGTGCCATCCCTTGCTGGGTTGGAAAGGATGGCAACACAGCAGCAGAAAGGAGCATATTTTTGTTGCAACAGACCCTTGTTGGGGATTAAAAACTTCTTTTTCAGCAAGGAAAATGTTAAGAGTGAAAAGTGACTGAAGAATAATTCTCCTTTTGACCCACAGAGAAAGAGGTGCCTAATGAAAAGATATGATCACGGACAGTGTGAAGATAACTGTCTGATCAGATAATGGAATTGTTTTCAGTGATAAGAATGAATCCATTACTAATGCAAATAACGATAATAATTATAATTTGCAATACAGTAAAAATCACCTAGTCTACCTCCTCCTCTGACAGGAGACTGTATAATAAATTATAGGCTGAGAAAAAAAAAATCAAAGGGATAAAGGTTAAAAGATTTTTAAAAATTCTGAAACTTAAATGCTTATCAGGGAAGTCAAGACCTGAAAGCAGAAATTGGTGCTATTAAATAAAGCAATTGTGAAGAAGGAGATATTATGGAATTGATTAACAAACCAGAAACCAAGCATTTCCTCATATCACTACCTCTTGTCACAAATTTCAATAATTCTGAAAGAACAAAAAATTAAGAGTTGGCATATAACAAGGAAATTAATTATTTCAATGTAGGTGAATATGCTAATAGTACTCTGGGAAGATGAATATAACTTAACACACAAAAAGCCCTCAGAAGATTCAATAAATTTGAGGAGTTTCACCAGTTGTTTTTGCTTTGCTTTGGTATCCAGAACAGGTCCAGCTGTTCCCTCACTCCCAACCAGGACTGCATCCTCAGACAGTGCACCTCTACCAGGCAGCACTTTTAGGGTTGTCTGGGCATGCCAAGATGCTTATGCCAACTCCATAAGCTTTGTTCATGTGAGAGATTTCGGGTATGGAGACAGCATGAAAAATGCTTAATTTCACCTCGGGAGGAGTAGAATCATCATCATCATCATCATCATGGCCAGTCTTCGCAAACGAAGATTTGGCAAAGGTCTTTACCCACAATTGTTACAAGTGCACTGGTGATACAGGGCTTTGCAAATGCGGGTAAGGCCTTCGAGCCTGCGCGGTGGATTTTTTAGGTGAGACACAGCGTACGCTGAACTGAGCCCACCCTTTGATCCTAAGGTTCATCTGCCGGGGCCGAGAGAGCTTGGATGGTGGCAGCGAGGTCCTCAGGACGTAGGTTTGTTTAGAGTGACCTTCTCTTGGATGGATGGCCTTACAGGGCTGACGAGCTCCATCTGCCCGGGTTTGGAGTTGTCCCGTGTGTTCCGGGGCTCCCCTCTCATCTCCCACGATGGCACTGTCCCCACAGGCGAAGCTGCCATTCTCTCGCTCCTTTCCTCGCCCGGGGCCGGGCTGCGCCATCGCGCATGCGCCCGGGGCCGGCCGGGAGGAGTAGACGAGGGCAGATGAAACAAATCTTGCATGCAGAGTTTGCACAATGGTGAGTTGTTCTCTTGTTCACAGAAATTCTCTTTTGGTTAAGCAGAGAGGAAAGAGTGATAAATAAGGTTTATCATTCGCTGCTGGCACCACATCAGTCATACAGTTTTAAGTGATAGAACATTGGGAATCTACCAAGAGGTCATGAGATTCTTCTACACCCATCAGTTTTGAGTAAAGTAACAGCTATTAAGTGACAGAGTCTAAAGCACTGTCTTCCAACACTCTTCATTTAGATCTTCATTTTCCAAAGGACATGATGTCCCATTACAGCCACATAGAAGATGCCAGAGATTTTAATGACAGGAGGAGTGTAAGGGAGACTTAAAGACCAGAGGTGCTGACACCTAGCCAAAAGTAGGAATGACTACTGGATTAAATTAGCCTTTAACCTCAGAGTGGAGCCCCATTTTCTGTGGCTGGAGTATTTTCTTGCATTTTAAATTCAGAGTAAAAAGCTCAATCTATCCTGCCCAAACTTCCCCAACAAGTCATTCATGAAGATACAGATTTCTCACTCCTTGAAGTTTTTCATTGCAGCATTTTTCATGTAGCTCAACACACTTCAGGTCAGCAAGGCATAAGTAGTTTATCAGAACCTCCACAGTATAGGAGTTCAAGGAAAATGCTTTAACAATGCAATTTCTAAAAGCAAAGTGAGTGCAAAACTCACAGTCTGTTTCATAACCATAATTTGTGGTTACCTCATAGGTGTAATTTATCCAAAACACATCCAGCTAATACAATATTAACTGCTACAAGCTCCTAAGGTTCAAACATGCACCCTTCAGTTTGCACACAAGAAGGCCTTTAACCATTGTTTGCAAAAGTCAAAACCACAATGTGCCTCAACTCCCCATATCACATTTCATTGTTGATACTTCATCAGGGCTGTTTCGTAGTGAGATGTACCCAACACAAGCCCTTCATGTGTATGCACACAGAATAACCTTGGCATCAGTTTCCAAATCTCCTTCCAGCAATAAGATGCTGATCTGCAAGAAATCAGCACCCCCTGCCAACAGAGCCATAAAAGAAAGATCGTAGGTCTATAAAATGTGATTGAAAGACCTGGGGTTTAATTAAGATTTAGACTCAGGGCATGCATGAAACTAGTCCTCAGATATGTCTAAAACCTGTCAGAGCAGGAATGGGATGAAATGTTCCCATGTTCTCTAGGGCTGGGACAGCCAGAGAGAGTCAAAGCTGACATTATGTAAGATTTTAGAGAGGTGAGGACAGTGAAAGACAAGTCAACTGCCCAAGCAGGCAGCATCACTGCAGGATCAGAAGGTTTAAAACCAGACTAAATAAAAGTTGAGAGTAGCTTAGGCAGAACTAATACTGTTTTGCAGCAGGACAGTGATAGACGATTGATGTCTGAGGTCCTTTCCAGCTACATGGATCCCTGTGATGCTCTGACAGAGAGACAGTTGCAGTCAGCAAAAATACTGGATGGATCTGCACAGAGATAGAAAAGAAAAAAGGGGAAAAGATATATACTATACACTATGTACTACCTGACTCTGAAGGAGAGAAATGAAAAATGCTTCTGTGGGATGTGATCAGTGTGATTTGTCAACATCCCCTCAGTCCTGTAGCATTCTTTGTAAGTGTGTGGCACTTTTTGATCTTCAATCTCATGTGTTTCACCCCTAAGACAAAACAAAAGAGCGACAACATTATTCAAACGCTTTTTGGAACACCCTCAGTCACGTACCTGATATTTCAACTGCCTTACACAATTATCAGACTGAAACACTGACCTTGTTATCCTGAGTTGACAAAATATCTGTCCTCCTGACCACTGAGTTCTACAGCTAAGGACTTTTCTATGGATAAGGCAGCTAGCTGAGTGTTCCCAACACCCTACAGACAGTACTGCCATCCAGGACCCCTGCTTACACAAGGAACATCAGGAGAAAATTATCCCAAGAAGGATGCTGTAATGTTTTTTGTGGAAAACCACACTTAGATACAAGAACTCCTGCATATATCATCCAGGACCAGCATCTTTTCTGCTCTGCTCACAGTTAACTTATTTCAACTCCTCTCATTTTGAGGAGTCAGTTGTCATCTAGGTAAAGTGTTGGCAAGGGGTCATGGGCTGAGAAAATAAATCTATTATGATTGTCATTAGATGAAAAGTAAAACCTCTGAACAACACATTGAACTGCAGTGTTTTAACTGCAACCTTGTGTGTGTTAGCAAATACACAGGCATGGCATGCAGGGTGTTTGTTGTGGGAAGCATCAAGGCAGCACTGAGATTGCTCTTTGTACTACAGAGGAAGAGGATATGTTCAGTCTGGTGTCCACTCTTATCAGCTGATGGCAGACGGAAGTTCCTACTAGAGGTGCAGAGCTTATTCCTCAAAGGGAAGGAAATACTCCTTGCTGCCCTTCGGAAAGGGAGAGTCACCTTGGATTACTATGGTTTAATGAACTCTGCATTCACAGCTCTCAATCTCACCACTTCTTTCTGTTTTGAAACCTTCCCTGATCTTGTTACTGCCGGAGCACACCAATGCCTTTGTCCTAGTAGTTCAAAATCCTGGTTACACACTGATTCTTTCAGTCTCCTTACACTCAATCTGGTATTGTCCTCTTTTTATGTCTTGGCTCTGCTGCAGCACACAACATTCCCAGAATAAGCTTATTTTGTATTTTTCATTTCTCCATGTTTGTGTCAGCTCACCTGTGGACACGGATAGAAGGATCATGCTGCAATCTACCAACTTCTTAATTTTTTTGCCATCCCATGGTAGTGAACACCATGTCCCAGTTCAGTAACTTCTGCTGTGGGCACAAAGCCAAGGTCCTGGGATATGGTGTCTAGTAAACCTTTCCCTATTATTATATAGTCTCTGAAAAATTAGAAAATAAGTGCTACTTTATAAGCAACACCCACTCAGTTGTATGTTAACCAAAAACAATACAGAATTTCTCAGTTTGCAGAAAAATGTTTGCAGTCGACTGACTTAATATATGGCATAAGGATTGGCACAAGAGAGTTTTTGCTGCAAGAAATTCATCTTTGCATCTGTGGAACTGCACAGGCTATAGTGAAACTTCTTGCTTTGTTTGAATATCCACATTCAGGTCTCTAATTTGAAGGAAAAAAACACAATAACTTATTGTGACTCTGCATCGGTTCCACCACAAAAATGTTTCTCTGTGTTAGAACACAGTAAGGCATGAATGAGAACTAATAAAACAGAATTTATTCCTAAAAAAAGTACAAGTGTTCCAATATCAGTACCTAATGAAATTGGCAAATAACAGGCCTGAATCCCAACTACACAAAGCATCTGCACTTCTCACCAATTTACCCAGGCTGCATGTCTTGAAAATAAAGCAGCTCTTGCACTGAGTAAAGGAACTCTGCATTCATTGTCCTTAAGACATTTTATAAGTTGTTTTATTCTTTTGCTATTCACATGAATATAACATCTGCAAATTTCAGTAAGGGCTTATATGATTTTGTAGAACCAACAATTTATACATAATCCCTCCTATCAGGATGGGGCTGTAACTTTAAATATAAACACACTCATATGAGAAAACCTGGAGATTTAGAAAAGTCCAATGAAAGGATCAAATTCTGAATGCACATACATGAAACTCCACTGGAAACTTCAACGATGTGCTAGAACACTGAAAGCAAAATTTGGTTCTCAATGTGTCTCTGAAGACTGTAATTATATTTCCCATTGTACTGGTAACATTAATTGAATGTTTAGATGAAATCAAGTTCATTACAAGTTAAATACAGTACCTCGCCTATTAGGATGGTGTTTATAATTATAGTCATAAAGCACCTGTAAAACATCTTCATTGCAGCACATACGAGGAAGTTGGGGCGTAGTGGCTGCTACACATCTCAGTTCACTCTCTGCATCTCTGCATCTGAGCAGCATCGTACATGAAGGTCACACATGCTCCTGAATCCTCTCTAAAGCTGGTGACAACAACGCAGAATTTTAGAGGGATGTGGCCTACAACTGTTAGCAGAAAAATGTAATATTGCACAAATTGTTATGCAAGGCTTTTTCAGTCCAGTTGGACCTTACTAAACACTTCTAGATCTATAAAGAGGTACATTTTCATGCAAATATACCTGCTTATTGGCCTGATAATACAATTTTAAAAATAAACCAGCTTTTAATATACAAGACCTAAAGTTTACGATTATCTTTGATACACCAAATTTTATATTTGATTTCCTGGCTCTCTGAGAGCACTACTACAGAAAATACCAGACCTGCTTATGGTATTGCCTGAAGTCATTCTGTCAAAACTCCAACAGACACCCTACTCAGAGCTACACCACCTTTGGTGGAAGTTGAGTGATCACAGCAGTGAATGGAGCACACAAGTGAACTTTCATAATAAATTAGGTTTCTTTTTATAGCCATTTTCATAAGAACGGTGACACCCAAAAAGAAAAATTAATTTTAAGGTATTTTATTTGACATGATTGAAGACACAAGAACACTCAAGATACAATCCAGACAAGTTGTGAACAGCTCCAAACATCAGTGAAATCTGAATTTATCTTGCACAGAGGTGAACAAGACCACAATGGTTGGTTTTATAATATAGTTTATTTCAAGCAGGTGAGTACTGTGACGTTATGCCCAACATCTTTTATACTATTCATCCGCTTAAGCCACTTCATATCATAAATATGCAGCCTATCTTGGCAATTAAATGCCTGCAATATATAACTAGCCTTCTCATAATAATGCATTAAAACTCCTGTATATAAGTACTGGTATATTCATACCAATGTAAACTGTCCTAACCATCACTGCACATTTATCATATTCTAACACAATTAATCATTCCATCACAATTAGCTGCTAAACTTTAGCCTAGAGTTCAGTAACTTGGACCCAAACTTGCAAGTTGCTGCTCAGAGCAAAACTTCTGCCAAGACCCCTTCTTTCCCTTCGGGTAGCAGGCCTTGTCTTTTCAACATTAAGTTGCACAGTGTCATCTGAAACCCCTACCAAAAAAGTGCTGCACAGGGAACCTCCTGCAAAAGTATCAGAACTATGATTCTAAAATTTACTCATTCCCTAGTAAATTCCACATTAATTTTACAGCCTACCATCCTTTATCAAAATGGGCATCCACATGCCTCTTACAATGTGAAATTGTTTAACTGGCTTATAGTCTACAGAAGACAGCATAACATTCTACTTAAAATTCTAATTCCATAGGAAGACAAGCTAATTTTCCATTCTTAAAGAGGGTAACAAGGATAGCTGGGAGTTTGTTCAGTAGTTCAGTGCTCTGCAAAGATAAGCTTGACAGTGCTCTCATCAGACTGAAGGAGGAAGTGCAAAAATATGCAAACCACATTTTACAGCTGCAGTAACTTCAGCAACAAGCCCCTGCTTGGATCCAAATGGGATCTTACAAAAGGTGAATACAAAGGGCAGAGAATCACTGCTGTGCAGGGAACTGTGCTTCAGAAGAGCTCCAGGAACCACCCTGCAGACAGCTGAAAACAGCACAAAAACCATGGGCCACCTAATCTTGCAGGTCACCTCCTCTTCATAGGGGAGAGGAGGGCAGGGCAGCCATTTAGCAGACCAAATTCTGTGTTAAGGCCACTGAAAACAAATCTGTGCGGAACCAGACCAACCCAATTTAACACTGCACGCACAGACACCGAAGCCTGTTTTTCTTGAAGAATTTTGTCTTTTGGTAGGTGAAAATGGTAAAGAGAGACTGACTGGGTCTTACCTGCAGCTACAATACATGAGTGTTGCCTGACTTTGGAAGGTAGTTTCTTGTTTGCAGTGTTTTGGTTTTTTGTTTTTTTTTTTTAAACTAGAGTTCCTTATTAAAACCCAAAAACCTAGTGAAGAAGCTGTATACCCAGATTATACAAACTAATTTTAAACTTGGATTTACAGGAGGATTCATCCATTATTATGATGAACTGCTGGAGAAGGAATGGTCACCATCTGAAATGAAGAAATGAAAACCCCAGCATCATACTAGTGCATCTGTGTAATGTGTTTAACTGGTATGACTTGCATTGCAGGAAGAATGTTGTATTCTCTGACACACCAACATTTCTTTCTTGTTATTGTAAGATCACCTTTTTACATTTCATATCTTATCATCTTTAAAAGCCTATAATTACAGAAGCTGATTGAGAAACTATGTTATTTAAAATTAACAGCTGAATGAAATCAACAGAGGCAAAGAGCATTTTTATACAATAAAATAGCACTGTAAAAAGAAAGAGTCTGTACAATATTTAAATATTGTATATACATAAAATTATATTGTTTATAACTCATCTTAAAGTTTTTCTTGTTTGTAAACCATGGAAAGCAACACACAAAAAAATCCCAGTATTTAGCTTTTAAAGCATTTAGCAGGCAGCAGGAAATCGACTGCTAGCAAGCACACTTTGTAATCATAGGAAGTATCCAGCTGGATACTATGACTAGCATTCTCCTTAGTCCTTTATTTATATAAATATTTTAAAGCTGAATGCAGAACACACTTCCCATTCAACTAAGGAATTCTGCAGGAGACACAGAAAACTCAATGACAAAATGCAGTGGATCAGTTCTGCAGCTCTTTATTGTGGCAAAACTGCAGGATAAACACAGAAAGCTTAAGTGCAGGATTGGAACATAAATTAGTGAAATTACTGATTAAGCTTTTATCTCCCAAAAGTGTCAGCAATGAATTTAACTCATGCTCAACTTATTAGAAAGGAAGGTTTAGATTAATAATAACATTTCAAAGTTTAAAAAATGTAATGAATTCCAGCAGGTAATTGGGCAGCTCTGTATAAATGCTCTGAAAGCGTCAGTATTTTAGGGTGATTCTAGGTGGCACCAGTCTGCTCATTTGGAGTGGGATCTGGATTTAAATCTGTAGTTGTCAGTTCATGGCAGATCTAGAATGCAGGTTTCAGAAGTTTTCCACCTGTAGCATTTTGCAAAATAGAAACTATTTGAGTTGCAAAAGAAATATTCCAGGTGAACATGCTTAAGAAAATGTTTCCAGAAAGTTGTTATCTGGAAAACAAGATGCTGCCATGACCATCTCCGCATTTCCCCTGTGTTAGAGTTCTGTGCTCACAGACATGTAAAGCTGTGTAGCCTTATTTAATGCTATTTGTAGTTGCATTATATTGGCTTCTGCCTTCGACTTTATTTGCTATTCGACTCAACACAGCAATATATTTTACTCCATTTAAATGTTTGCTACACAAAATATATTACGTGATATGAATGGTTTTCTCTCTTTTAAGTCACTTAAACGTTCCTGGACAGCCATCATCTACCTGTACTTCCAAATCTCAATATAGGAATTAACAAGAAAAGAAAAATAATCACTTGGAGAAGTGCTTGATAAACCAGACAGGTCAGTAGGACTCCAACAGAGTGGAGAAATCTGCAGACAGGAACCTCGAAGTTCAGTGAAGGCAAGTGGAAAGTCCTGAAGCTGGGGAGGAATAACCCCCTACACCAGGACACGCTGTGGACTCGGAAGCAGCTTGGTGGCAGTAAAAGACCTCGGAGTCTTGGCAGACACAAGGTTCAGTGTGAGCCAGCAATGTGCCCTTGCAACAAAGAATGCCAACAGCCTCCTGGGCTGTATTGGGAACAGCACTGGCAGCAGGTCAAGGAACGTGATTATTTCCCCTTATTCAGCCCTGGTGAGACCACACAGCTGGAGAGCCAGATCTGGTTCTGTGCTTCCCAGTACAAGACAGATGTGGACACACTGGACTGAGACCAGCAAAGAGCCAGGAAGATGATGAAGGGATTGGGGTATCTTCCATGTGAGGAGAAGCTCAAAGAGCTGGGGCTGTTAGGCTCGAGAAGGCTCAGGGGACGTTAGGAACGTGTACAAATGCCTGACAGCAGATAGTAAAGAAGATGCAGTCAGACTTATCAGAGGTATCCAGTGAAAGAGGCAATGTGCACAAATTCTAACTCCAGATATTCCTTTTGAACAGAAGAAAAAGCTTTTTTGCAGTGAGAGTTGTCAAATGAAGTTTAGACATCTCCATTTTGGAGATATTCAGAACTGAAGAAAGCAACCTGTTCTGGCTGACACTGCTCAGAGCTGAGAGGTCGCATCAGACAGTCAATGATGTCCTGTTCAACCTCAACTATTATGTGATTCCATGGTTTCAGATGGAAACTAACAAAAATAAGTTTAAAGGACCCAAATGGGAAACAGCTTAGCTCTTAATAATCTTCCGAAGTATAATGAGGGCAATGCTAGCTAATTAATCTAACAGCTTGTTCTGAGAGCTTTGGCAATAAAGGCCTTGTTTTCAAACTGGAGCAATCAATATTAGGCTCTTAGATATATATATTTGCTTCCTGAATCTAATTTTAAGGATTTCTGAGGATTTTCTTTTCCCATTTCTTTGAGTCATTAATTCTCAGTACTTTAAATTCCGAAAGCACCGGGTAAAGTTAAAAGAATACTACAGACTACTAATTTGTTCCCATTGCCAGAGGATGGTGCTGTTTAAACAGATATCCCACACAAATACACCCCCTACGACAACCATGTGGGTTACTGACTTTTTCTTAGGAGGAAGAGGAAGAAGAAGAACAAGGCAAAGAGATTATACTTTTATATATTTTTAACTAACCTTCGAGACCAATAATAATCAATGTGTACTTAATAAAGGTAGATCTTTAAGCATGCTTGAGTAATTTAGGAACTTTTAACTACCTCTGGAACTTTAGCTCCCAAAACTTTTTAAGGGTCTTTCAAAATCCAGCCTTTGATCATCAAAGGGCACAAACATGACATTACCCCACCTCACTACTAGCTGTTCTCATGTAGCCTGCTGAAATTCAACTTGATTACATGATACATGAAAGTCAAAAAACGGAATACTGGAAGATCAGTCTCACAAACAGGCTGTGGTGGGGAAAAGGACCATTAGTAGTTTAAGAAATCAATACCAACTTTGACACTTTTAGAGGTTGCAACATCAATGGCCATGGCTTTGATTTCAGTGTCCCCAAACTGCATCAGTGTTTTGATTTCCCGCCGGTTCGGTACTGAAGCATCAGTTCCTGTGAGATCCAAGCGAAGGGTGCCACACTTCTTCACCCCAGCCTCAGTGATGAAGCCAACGTTGTCTTGTTCTGAGCTATAGATATTGATCACTATTACTAGCTGGGAAGGTTTGGCAGGTGTGTAGCTGCGTGTCACAGTTTCCCCAAGGGCTACGGATTGGTCGGCTGAGATAAATTTGTCGAAGACATCAGTGCACCAGCGTGTGCCATCTTTGACCAGAAGCTTCTCCGGTGGGTGCTTCCCTTCCACGAAGCGGTTGAGCACACCAACGCCGTAGGTGAGCGGGGAACGCCGCACTTTGATGACAGCAGGGTCCAGGCCAAAGAGAACAGCTCCTTTGAGGATGGTGAGACCCACATCCTGAGGAATGATGACTCGACATCTCGAACCAAAAGCACTCTGCACGGCTTGTTGGAGCAAGGGGGACTCGGCGAAGCCACCCACCAGGAACAGAAACTTGACGTTGGTCACTTCTGGCTTGTCGAACACTTCACCTAAACAGCAACAGAGCCCATTTAATAAGGAAAAATACACTGACAAGGCAATGCAAATGCAAATAGTAATGTCTGAGTGCACTGAATGTTTCATGCACATGCACAAGATCTGAAAGTGCCACATCTATGCCCACACTGCCACTCTCAGCATTCACTACTCCCACTTCTGTAGTCTCTACTATACTCTATTTCACTTTGAATTCACTTACCTCAAAGCATACAATATTTCTGAAGTGGCCTTTAAAACAGAATTTTTATTTAGCTTCTATGAGTAAAGGGAGACATACACTTCTTGCAACAAAATCCTGCCAGTCACATTATGGGTAATAGGGAAACAGACACCATCTTGCCACTTCAAATATCAGCGAGACATTCTCAAACCTAACTGATTCCCACACCCATTATGGCATTCCAGATAAGTCACCCCATTTTAAATTCACTTATTATTTCTGACCCTGACATCTTAACCACAATAAATACCATCTGTAAAAGTTACACCTCCTTACATTTTTACAGATGTTCCTTCTTAGCTCAAACCCACAATCCCTACTTTCAGGAATATCATGCAGTTCAGTTGCAGGCTCACCCTTAGTTCAAATAACTGAGGCAGCACGACTGAGTTACACGGCACGACTGTTGTAATTCTAGGCCTCTCCCTCCCTGTTCATATATAAGTTCTGACCTCTGAAGTTTACCTAATAATCCCTCACATATAGTGAGCAAAACTGGATATTCCATTCCAAATATGATTCAGTTAGTGTTTTTTAATGTGTAGAACAGAAACACTTTGCTCAGTACATACATTATACTCTACTTGATACAAATCCAATCTTCCACCACAAAGATCTTAAATAATCATTTTCCCAATAAGCCCACATCACTTTCCATTACTGGATAAATAAATACAGTGCTGCTTAAGCCACACCTGGAAGTACTTTTACCATGATGCATCATTTACTATTTGCATTTAAGAGATGTCAGTGATTTGGAGGGTCATGAACAAAAGCTGGGAAGAAATGAACTAGAGGTCTCAATAGCAGGAAAAATCAGAAGCTAGTTACACCTCTGGCATTATTAAGTTGCTGCCTGAAACAGGAAAAAGAAAAGCAGGATCTGGGTTTCTCAGTGCATTTTAATCTTGTGAATGCTTGCAGCCCTGGAAGTACAGAATAATTGAAGCTTAGGCAGTAACAGGACTGAATCACACTCAGTAACTAGTACTAGAACTAAGCAGGAGGAGTATGTGTTCAGATGTCCCTCACTTTTATTATTTTCCTAACTAATTTGTAGACAACTACAAGTTTCAGAACTAAATTCCTCGCCCACAACTGGTACATACCAGAAAGGTTAGTTGACTTTATTACAGTTACTGCCCTGAAACAGTGAAGAAAAACTTCCATTTCAACTCAGCCAATAAGTGGAATTACACACAGATACGTACTGAGGTGCTGAACGATCTGGTCAATTGTAGGTTTGAAAAGAGCATTCATTGCATCCGGGCTCATCCTCAGCATTCCCTGGGAAGACCATTTCACAAAGTCCACACTGGAAAAGAACAGTTAGGAAAAAACATTAAAACATTACAGTTGAGTTGCAAAACAATCATCAGACATACTAAATACATGAATGAATGAGTTTACAGGATCTGTGAGCATTTTGCTTGGAAGAAAGTGCCCCACTTCACCCTAGTCCCACACCAACTGCAGCAATGTAAAATTTTAAAATAGAATTATTATTTTTCCTTGTCTAATTGTTGTTTTCTTTGCCTGATTGCCTTTTGCAGCATTAGCAATGCTCAACTGCTTCCTGAAACAGCTGGCAGTCAACCCGGGGCTTGCTCATTTGAAACAGCACTGATCCAGCCCAGAAGGGCAACATTTATATTATAGCAGTAGCAGGCCAAAGCCACGGGAAACACACAAGGAAAACAAGCAAGTCTGGAAGCCTCAGGAGGCAGAAGAGAGCACAACATTTTTAATGAAGCACAACATTTATTAAGTGAATACAGGCATTAGGTTATTCCATCACTGATACACATCCATACAGCTCAGTAATCTCCCTTTCACTAATACACACTATATGTCAGCCTTTATACTCCTTCTATCCTGTTATCCAATTAATTTCATTTCATTTGAAGGAAATTTTTAGCATTGCCTCTAAGATTCACCATTAAGACTATTAATAAAAAGGAGATGGTCTTGTGAGGGGGAAATTTTAATGATTTCAGAACCTCAGGCTCATTTAGAAAGTGACTCTTAGTTGGATTTCAAGTCATTTAGGCTTACAGTACATTTACCAATAACTTTTGAAAGAGATGCAGGAGTTCCTGCCTGCATACTACGTTCACAGAATCAGAGAATATGCTGAGTTGGAAGCAACCCACAAATACTAAGGTACAGGTACTAAATATCAAATCTTTCCCTCTCAGGTCCCAAGCATTCTGCCCTAGATTCACAGGATCTCTTGTTCATTCTCTTTTATGTCATTATCCCCAGGTCTCCTGTAGTACATAATTTCAAAAGATGCAAAATGCCCATTTCTACTTTCTTCTCACTTCCTTTTCTATAGTAGCCCACAATCTTGTCATTTAGGATGACTTCTTGATACTGAAAATCATGAATTAAAATCTCTGGAGGGGATTATGTCTCCCTACTTATCGAGCAAATTATCTAATTGGTAAAATACTAGAAGAGGCAAAAACCTGCCATCACTTCAAAAGAAGAATGCTTTCCCCTTGCAGAGCTTTATGCAGTAGTACATGCTTTCACCAGTGATCTGATCCTGCTAGCAACTGTCCTCAAGCCATGAACATATTTACACATCTCACAATCTTGGATTTGTTCCAGGCTGATAAAAATTAAGGTTCTACATAACTAACTTTTAGGCAACAAATTCTGTCTTTGATCTGATGCTCCTAATTAACATGAAAGGGACTCACAATACACAAAGTCAAGAAAGTTATGCAGTGGTGGCCTAACAAAAGTCATACAAAGCAATACCTGACCGCTGCAAGTCTTGTACAGAAAAGCTTTTGCAAGAGATTGATCAGAACTTTTCATTCTGGAAACTGCAATGGAGGCAATTCCATTTTCTCATCCTTATTACATTTTTACACTATTATCCTTCAGTCTACACGTAATTAGGATATTTGAATTATTTGTCTTTGCTACCAGTAGTTAATTCTGCATCCATTTAGTTTCAATTGCCTACTTACTTGCTTTTCCTCAAGGCATGTTCTACGCTGTGGCCTCGAAACTTCTTGTAATAGTCAATGAAGGAGAAGGGCAGAGTGATGTTTAGTGGGTTAGTCCTGTCTGGAGCTGCTGCCCGTTTACGGGACTCAAATGCTATCATCAGATCCACCCAGGCTGCAGGACGCTTGATTTTAAATTGCTCAATAAAATCTTCTCCAAATATTTTACACAGGAGCTTTTCAAATTCATAGTCCACTCCTAGAGAACCATAAGGCCCACCTGTACCACAAACAAAGCACAGCTTTAATATTCTGAACTGCTTATTACATTTCTAGTTGACCACATACACATCAGAGCAACACTATATGAGGACTGCCAAGGGAGAAGGTCTACAGAAAGAGGTGTCTTTCCTAAATGTAACAGCTGGTCTAATACACAACATGCTCTTACCTTTGCCTCACTTCTACTCCTCTATCATCATAGCCAAAGTAAAACTAGCACTATAAATCAGAAACATTTTTATTAGAAGCAAATTGCCTTCTTATCTACTCATGAGGAGGTGTAGGTTGGATTTGTATTTAAGAGTAGACACTCCTAAATGTGTACATTCTCCCATTTGCTTTTACTAGGTTGTTTCCTGAGGTAATCTTACAGACACCAGTGTGAGATTTGCCATTCAAAAGCATCAGATGCATTAAATGATTCATCCATGTCTGATGACCAGCAGCTGGGTTATATTAATTTTGAATGCTGGTCTTATTTAAGGAAGAACTGTTAGGAAAATGTAATAAAGGCACACATTTCCTTCACTGACAAATCAAAATATTACATAAATATATAATATACAATATAATGATATAAAGCAAGCAATGGAAGTGACAGTACCTGTTGCTTTGTACAGCTCCTTAAGGTGTCCTTCAGGAAGCCTGATCTGATGGACAGTCATATCCACTGTGCCTCCTCCACTGTCAACGACGATGTAACGGTCCCCTAGTTTGCCGAAGGGAGAGGGCAATGGTACTGACATTAGTCTTACCACCCAGCACACTGCAATGACAGCTTCTCAGGGGCACTAGCACCATGAGAGACAATGACCTACAGAAAGTCAGAATGTCTGTGTTGAAGACTTGATCATTACTAGTAAATATAATGCAATGATTGATAACAAATATAAAAGTCAGATGTCAAAAGCTATTGATTTAGTGCAGCTGTAAAGCAGATTAGTGGCACCGCTCGTGCTGCTGTGTACATTCTAGTGGGCTTCCAAATTAATACTAGGGCATATTTAAAAGGCCTATTCTGAGGAAAATATTTTGCATGCATTTTAAAACCTGGATGGCTTTCTACCATCTCCTTAATAAACCGTATTTTGCTAGAGCATATGGAATTGCAGTTCAGTGTTACTAACTAAGAGCAGCACATGAACCTGTGGTTTTTTCTTTTCCTATTTATAATCACGGTGAGAACAATGCAGTGCTCAGCACATTTGTGGGAAACACAATATTTGCCTGCAATATAAAACCAGTGACAGCAAAGCTTATTCAAGAAAGGACACTACCTTCTTCCAGTTCAGACCAGATCTCTCCTATGACATTTTCCACCATGAAGGTACGACTCTGTCGTTTGTGACGCACGTGTTCCTTAGCTGGGGATTGACAGAGAATAAATTACTGAGGATAAGAAAGCATGAAGAAGTGGGTATTGTAAGTTGCAGGGTTATGCAAGTGGGCTGACAGGCCTGTATGTATCACTTCTTAACAAAGCAGATGAACAAAAATTACTGCATTGGAATCAGGAACATTAGAATATCACTTCTACGAAGAAGAAAAAATGCTTTTCAGCCACACTAATCTTCCTTGATATTAATATATATATTATATATATTTTAATATATACTAATTAACTAATATAAATAATATAAACAAATAATACCTACTAATAACCTAATAAGAAAGCTATAAACAGGTCTGATTTGGGGCTTTTTAATATATTCTGGATTGCAAAGCACGGGCTGGCAGTGGGGTAGGTGGGACTGGCTCGTCAGAGCCTCTGTCAGCAGTAGCCCCATCCCACTGCCTTTCAGGTTGTCAGTCTGTCTCAAAACTAGCAGCCAAAGCACTGTTGTTCACATCAGTAACTTCTTAAGGACACAGTGATCAGGAGGTCTAACCCTCATAATATTTAAAATATACATTAATTAAAAATTAAGCATATCTAGCCAGACTGTTCTAACAATCAGTTAACTTACAAGACTTAACTGCTACTTAGATGTTTAAAAGATGCAGAACAGTCTGTCAAGTGAAAACAGAATAGCGAGAATCTTTGCCTTATGCTTCTAAATCAACCTCTACAACTGAATGATCAAAAAACCCCACATTACCTGTGTATCCTTCACTCACCTTCAAAGGCATTTTATAAAACACTACAGAGGAGAGGCATCTGGTCATATGTGAAAATTCCTTCTGAAAATATCAGCATGCAAATCCCAGAATGCATTTTGCTTCCTGTTTCTCTAGTGCCTATCACCAGAACACAGACCAGCAGTTCCACCTGCTCTGTACCCTCCCCATAAAGCCCCCCCGATGCAGACAAGCCACAGCAGCCTCACTGCACTGACTCGGCAGCACAGCGGGAGCTCACACGACGAGCACTCCAGGACAGAACAAGCACTAGGTCCAAGGAAAGGCCTGACACAGAGCCCCCAAAATTCAGTGGCAGTCCTTTCATTCAATCCTGTGGGCTAGAAGTGAACACAAGAGCCAGTCTTTAACTAAAACTGAACTAAGCTTCTCCTGGCTACTATGAACAGTAAAATTTTTGTTTTGACTTCACGGCAATAATATGGTCCTTGCAGTGCTTCTCTCTGTTTATATTTAAGGGTTTTTTCTCCTTAATCTGTTCTCAGCTTGTCTTGGGTGCCTGCCATGCCTTTATGAAATTTTAATTCTAACCCCAAATTAATTCACTCCAAACTTTGTTTTCATTAATTTTGACATGAAACCTTTCTCATCTCCAATAGCTTTTACCATACAAAGTCAAGAAGGAGAGTGGTAATCCCATCCAAGGGTTAGCAGAAATCCATGATCTCACAGATTATGCCCAGCTTCAAAACCTTATCCAGAGAAATTATTTTCTTTTATTATTTTCCCAGAGGCAAATCCCTGTGTTGTCTGACAGCGAGTTCATGTAGAATCACATGGAACTGGAATGGTTCAGGACATGAATGAGGGGGACAGAAGCTGAGGGGCCCCTGAAGGGACTGTATCCTGGAACAGATTGTGTCCTGTACTCTGCGTGGGCCTCCAAACACTGAACACATCTGACAAGAGCTGGCAAGGAGAGGCATGGATTTGAGAGAATGATGTAGTGACTCTGCTAACTGAAAAAAAAATGCTCTGGTAAGTGCAGGAATAGCTTTACTAGCCTAATCTTCCATTTGCCTCTACTGTTTTGACATAGCAAATGTGATAAAATACAGATTCTTCTGAAAAATTCATTCTGGAATAGACTGTCCCACTACCATTAATATCAGGGCAATTGTCACAGTGCACAGCCATGGCAAATATGTGCATTATGCAGCAATCAACTCTTAGTGCTGTTGATTTTTTTTTCTCTCCTACTTCCCTCCAATTTCAGCAGGATACCAAGCTCAAAAAACTCTGGTGATGAAGGATCTTTTGGCAAGCGACTTGCACTGTGGTCTAAGCCCTGTCCCTCACCGTAAGTTAGTCATCAAACAATGACACTAGCAACAGATCCCAAGTCAATAAATCAGAAATAATGGTATTTCATAAAGATGACATCAAAAAGCATCTGCCAAAACTCTGAAACACCTCAGACTAACAGTTTCATTGCAGATCCAGTTATTTAACACTGCTTCAATAATGCAGCTAATCAAACACGTAATTGTTTCCAACACATTAAATTAAAAAAATGATCCAATATGAAGTACTGACTTAAATTAAGGCAGAAAAATACTGCTGTGAAAATACTAAAAGATTCCCACAAGATCCAAAAAAAGGCAAGGCAAGGAAGCTACCTGCATGCTAAAATTAAAGGAAGAAATTCTTTCCTGTGAGGGTGGTGAGGCCCTGGCACAGGTTGCCCAGAGAAGCTGTGGATGCCTCATCCCTGGAAGTGTTCAAGGCCAGGTTGGATGGGGCTCTGAGCAATCTGGTCTAGTGGAAGGTGTCCCTGCCCATGGCAGGGGGATGGCACTGGACAATCTTTAAGGTCCTTTCCAACTGAAACCATTCTGTGATATCTGCTGGATCAATGTCTAAACTAGTCTATCTACAACAAACAGCAAAATAGTTTATAAAAGCAAACTGATAGCCTGAAACATTTCAAGAGAACAAGGACAACAAGAAACAGTAAGAAAACAGCCCTCATGCCCAAAGCAAACTTATGTGTAAGGATCCAGGAAGTGAATGAAGAGAAGTACCCTGTGTAAATCCAGTCCCAATAGTGTCACTCGGGCTGTAGCCGTTGACAGGTGCCCTACTACTCAGCTCTATCATCTGGTGCAGGCGGAGCTTTCGGCAGTAGATAGAGGCAGCCTCGGGTTCCAGGGCAATGATCAACTGCTCGGGATTTTCAGGAGATGCCATTCCTGCCTGAGAGAGAGAATTCATCAGAGAAGTGGGGTGGGAAGTCCCGCAGCCTTAGCAGACCCTTTCAGCTCTTGAACAAGGCTCTCCCCAGCTCATGGTCTCAGTTTAGGTCACCCCTCTGAGTTCAACTCACAAAGGAGCTGCTGCCAGCGGTAAAGGTCTGGGAATCGTCCTGCCCACAATGTATAGCACAACTTCACAGGCTGTCACAGGGAAGAATGCATGCACTTACCATGCTAAGTGCCTAACCAAGCAGTTGTGTACATGACAGGTGGAGAAACGAAGGAAATAATTTTGAAACCTGTAATGAATGGCCTAAACCCTGAACTTCTAATTAACCTGTGAATTTGCCTGCTAAGAGGGGCCCCAGCCTTCTTTAAGACATGAAAGAGTACCTTTGGCCTCTCCTCCTCACAGAAGTATTTTAAGTATGCCTTTCTTTATGTCCTAGATATACACAGTCCTTGCTGAAATGAAGTTCCTGCACTGTTGAACTGTACAGCAATATACAATACACTTTGCCAGTAATGCATCTTCTGACTTAGAACCAACATTTTCTAGTTCAAATTCACTTTTATAATATCTTCAAAATGCTCAGTTTATTCAAGGACACAAAATACAACAGGGCAGGTTCCCTAAAATGTAATGAGGACAAAGCTAAAAATAATCCCACATTGTAAAATCAACATTTGCCATTCTTTCTATTTTCTTTCTGGATTTTCAGCCTTCAGATACATAGATTTTCAAGAAGCCAGAAGTTCTTATGTAACCACATAGTGCACTCTCAGAGCTGGGCTTAGAGAAAAATATTCAAAGAACAGTTGACAAAATTGTGTTTTTGTTTCTTTTCCCCTGTACTTCTGCCTACACTATGATTTTATGCTAAAATAGAAAATATCTTTCAGCTCCTTTCTGCTATCATTTTTCAGTTAAGTGCCTGAGTACTAAAGCATGCTAGCAAATACAGAACAAAATGAATATGTTTCTGCTTCCAGTCTTCCAGCCTTCCAATTCATACACACACATTGTGGTGTCTCCAGAGCATCCCCAAAAGAAGGCAGACTCACATGGAAAGACTGCAGACTTGGCCTGGAATTTGTTTTTTTTATACAGCTACACTGTGGGGCTGTGGGAATCACTGGCTAATTTACACCTGCACCTAGAAACTCGAAGTAAAGCTGGTTTAAAAGTAATATCAGGGTAAGACTTGGAGACACAAAATTGTCCTTCACATTTACTGACTCATTTTACCTTCTCCATCTTATGAAATATGATAAATAGATTCTTACAGAAAGTATCTGCCTCACTATTGGTAACAAAAAAGGCAAAACAACCACAAATAAATTTCAAAATAAAAAAGTGAGGGTTAAACTAAACAAGGTTGCTCATTATTTTAAAAGCACACCTCACGACTGGGACTATGGTCACTTTACATCTTTTATTGCTGTTAGGAAAAACCTTCTGCTTTAGTTACATCCACTGGACTCATCAGCATGATCTGAAATTAGTACAAATGTCTGGGAAGGAAAATACTGTGCAAATACTGCAGAATATCAAACCTTGCAAGCTATGTGGCAACACATATTGAAAAAGTATTATATGTTTGCAACCAAACAATCAAACTTTGGAAAATACAAGTCCACAGCAGCCAGAGTAACTCTAAAATGTAGGAAAAGACTACCAATCAAGCACAGGTCCAGGCATAACCCTCCTGCCATCACAGCACTTGCAGGTGAGCATGTTGGCAGACGCAGGCTTAGACAAAGTTCTGGAACTGTACTGGGGATGAAGTTCTTGCACTGTGCCTTAGTATAAACCCAGTCTTTCCTCCAGCCTGTCTGGATGTAGTAGGCACAAGCAGGGCTGGTTTCAAGCCAGCTTACTTCAACATCACTTACCCCCATCTGAGCTTTCCTACGCAGGAAGCTTTGATTTGTTGCACTGGAAAGAGCAATATTCGAGATATGGATCAATACTTGGTCTTTGACAGACATTTATCTAATCTGCCAAAGAATTCCAAAAATGTATGGTCTCTGCACACAGATTCTCTCAGCCCTTTACTGTCTTTGCCTTTGGAGAGTTTTGCTAAAAGCCTAATCTGAATCTTGCTGAAATTCCAAGGCCAGCACTTGTTGCTCCATCCAATAAGGGCTTGAAGAACAAATAGCTCCTTACTACCCCACTCCACTTTTCACTTACATTAAATCCATTATCATGTTTTGTGAGAGCTCTGAATCTGAGCAGCAAGTGGGTTTTTCCAATCTCTAGCAATGTGATGAGTGGTCAGCCTGCTCCATGTACTGGGCATGTGTCAGCAGCACAGACAAATCAATTCTTAGTCTCAGTCTAACCTATGCACTGAAGACAAAATTGTGTTTTAGGGAAAAAATAGTTTGTTGCTCAGGATATTAAAATCCAAAGGCTACAACACAGATCATTTGCAAGAGGTGACAAGAACTGAGTTACACACACAGGGAATGCACTGGTATTTCCTAACTCAAAGCGGGGGCAGCAGGGGTGAGGGGGATGATTGTATTAACTGTGAAATCATCTGTTCTAGGGGGAATTTTGGTACAAACTTCCAAGGCTGCTTCTGCTAAAAGAAAACAGTAAACCATTAACAATAACATTTGCTTCCTCCCTCCTCCAGCAGGTCTGCACCATGACCTTTTCACACTGCAGCCTGCACATCAGGAGAGGAAGGCGGCGACCTGCGGATGGACTGAGCGCTGTGTTCTCAGACTCTCCAAGTATAGCAGATGCTATTCTTGCTACTTTTTCTCTCTAGTCATTATTTAACATACCCAATATATCTCCTGAGGAAAACATCTATACTATGATACTATGATGATACTATGATACTATCCAACAGAAATGGCAGTTTTTAACAGCTCAAAGCACAGCTGATCCTAACAGAATCTCATGAAGAATATGTAGAGGTTTTTTGCTTAAAAGCTTTTCTTACAGAGTTTGAAGGGCCAGTTACAATGAAGAATGTGTTATTTCACATCACAGAAACCATATAAAGAATCTTCTACAGTGAAAGGTACAAGGTAACCAACACATATTTTTAGATGTACACATACATATATATGTACATATATACACATACCCGCATACATATTTACATATAAGTATATACATATATGTACATGTATATATAACAATCAATATTTCATACCTTATGTATGTAGCAGTTCTACTTAGACCATGAGAGAGAGCACATTAGTCTTAATATATATATATATCCATACACAGCACAGAGAGAATGCAGGAAGGGGAGATGATAAAGAAACATGAACACACGCAGAATGCAAGGGAGGAATGGAGCAATGAGGTTGTTTTAATACAAGCCTTAAGATGAAGACTTAGGAGGCAGTACATCTGTCCCATCATTACAGCCAAGGAGCAAGGGACAGATGGGAGAAAAATATTGAGCATGCAGAGAAAAAGGAGGGAAAACAGCAGGCGGCAACACAAAGAAACAGTGATGCATTTGTTAAAAATATTAATTGTAGACATTTATGAATCTGCTGTATTTTACACTTGCTGCTTTCTATTTGCCTCACTCCATGTTCTTTCCCACTGTTGCCCAAGTACTACTGTAATTAAGAACAGAGATTCACAAATTAACAGGCCTGAGCAGGACAGATCTAAACAATGTCTAGATATTCAACATTCTACAGATCATTCTGGCAGTGGGACAGATGTATCAATTTGCTTTTTGCCTAGGGCAGATTATAGCAGACTTTATAATAGCGCAGTGTCTTGACTTTAGCCTGCTAAGGAGATTTTCTTTCTCCCATAATACTCACTACCAGTATAAACCCAGTGATCACTTACGAGACATGAGGGAAGCAGCTGTTTCTCCAAAACCACAGAAGTGGAAAATTCATCATGGAATTACAAAAAATTCTTTGAGCACCAAAAAAGTTCTTAAAAATGAATTTATTTGCAGAATATGGCTGCATTTATACACCTGGAAGAAGCAAAGAACACTATAAAAAGAACTACGCTAAAATTCAACTTTGCTCCTATGCCTGAGGACTAAGATTCCATTTTTTGACAAGAGAACTCCCAGATTTTCACTCACTCCAGTAACACAGGTCTGTGAGCTGGTGCCAGTGCATTGCTGTTCATTTGTCAAGATTCATGATCGACAGCAAGCCTCAAAGTGCTTCAAAGTCTCATGTACTGGAGCATTAATAACTTTTTACTATCCAGATGCAGGTGAATTCTCAACCTGGCTCACTAGCTTTGTTTTTTATAGTCACAGATGTGTCCTGATTCTGTGAACAGCATTAGCTGCCAACTGTTAGCCTAATTCATCATTAGCGAATACTCAAGTCTGAACTGAAGCTCAGTATTAGCAGTCTGAGCACTTCCAGAGAACTAAACAATTTTCACTCATTCCACATGCAGAATCATCATTACTACAGATTTCAAAGATGCTCCTTTTAAAACCCAGTCTCACATGCCACAACACACAGCAAAGAAAAGCAATGTTCTTTTATATTGTTTTAATACTGCCCCATATATGACCTTAAAGACAGCATTATAGTAGAATATTCTACATAGTCTGAACCTTTTCAAAAGACAACGAAAGCCATCAGGTAGGCCTAGATGAAAAGATCCCATCTCTGAAAGCTGCTGTAATCAGCATTTAGCTGTAGTCCTCCACGGCCAGGCAGAAATGCTGTTGTTCTTTCAGGCTTTATTTATTACACCAACAGTGACCTCAAAAGAAATAGTACGTTAGGAAATACACCATCATTGATAAGGTTCACATTTCCTATTACTACTCTTTCAAACTACAGAAAGCATCAGTTAAGAGGTTTTTTCAGAGAGATACATCAGATATCTTTTTAAAGGAAATTAAAAAAAACAGCCTGACCACTGATTTGTAACACAAGGAACATGCCTTACATGGAATGCACCTGTTTCTTTGAGTTATAAAGCTAACTGAAAGAACTGACTGGATGAATTCTAATTTCCTGCTTTGGTATATTTTGTAGTCATCCAAGACCTAATTCAGTACTGCCTCAGGGCTGTAAGCACTGCATTCACAATTAGTAGGACATGTCTAGATAAAGAAATGAAGCATAAATAGAATAAACAGATAAACATGTACAAAAGAATCACTCTGATTACACAGTTGCAAAAACAAGGCACACAGACTAAAGAATCTTTTCTAACTTTGCGTAGGAACCCACAAGAAGGTAGGAAATTCCTCCATAACCTCAGAACTCCAGTTCAGTGTCCCAGCCAAATGCTAGCCTTGGCCAAACAGCAAGCTTCCATTTCTACCTGTAACACGTAGCACATGCAGAAGCTGCAGGGACAGCTACATCACAGCTCCACCACAGCCTTGGGTCCCCACTCTTCTTTCACAATTTTTCACCTTCACCAACTGCATTACTTTAGTCACTTCTGCAGCAACACTGCAGGCCAGGTGAGTGCAATGATCCATTCTTCTGGTTGGTAGAAAGAACCTTTCAAATGTGTTTTATCACTAAAGCCCCATTTGTAGGCACCAGAGACAAAATTTAGACGGTAGATCCCATGAAACAGCTCCATAAAAATGCCATGGTTCATTAGGAAATGAAGCTCGGCAGGACAATATCATTCAGCCAAAATGACAGAAGCTGAGAATTAACATCAACATTTTGCTATTTTCCAAGATATTTATTGTAATTAGTAACAATAAGAAAGGCATGATTGCAAGTTAAGCACCGTGCAGGCAGCACGAAGAAAGTATTGTGCAACTGAATGAAGGCGAGACAAAAGAATGGTTGGAAATGAAGTGCCTCGTGCAATCGAGGGCGTTTAAACTAATCAGTTCATTGTGTGAAGGGATTCATGGTAACACCATTGTAATAAGTAAGCAATGGTAAAATTCACTCATCAAAATATATTGTATTTTCTGTATATTATAGCTAATGCTTGGTTGGGACTAGGGAGTTGTAAGCTGCGGAATAGTTAATTGCTGTGTTACTATTACAAGTTGACTGTCCTGCAACTGGCAGTTCCCTACCTAGTTGGCAAAGATAAAGTATCTTGCTTTACTGAGCACATATACCATATCCTGCTTTTCTAAAAATATTGTTTAAGTGTACTTATTAGAAAAGAAGAAGAGAACGAGGATCAGAGGGTCAAGGATGAAAATGGTAAAGAAGAGCCAAGGAGAACATCTGGACACCATAATTCATACCCAACTCCAAGGACATTGAGTTAAAGATACTGATGGAAAGTCCCTGGCAATCAAAATGGGCCTGCAACAGAACCAACCAGAACGAAGCCCGTGAACTCAAGCCCAATCAAGAGCTAACAAGTGACTATGGGAGGGGGTTGAAAAGAGTATAAAAGGAGCTATTTATTTGTATTGCGCTTGTGGGCCGGTGGAGAGCAGGGGTCTCTCCAGGCCACCCAGCGCGCTGATTTGCTTATCTGCACTTTATATCAATCTTACAATAAATTTTGCTGCTAAATTTTGATCTGGTTCATTTACCTATAACACCATCCACTTAGTGCCTTGCTAAGTGAGCTCCTCTAATCCTCCTCCTTTTTCACTAGCTAGCACTTTCTCCAGTTCCGTGCCATCAAACTGGGATGTCGCAACTAAACGACTGAGATCTAATTACAGAGGCAGAGCACGCCAGTAAAGAAGATGAGCAACACGAGAAAAGACAGCACTATCCCAAAGAGGCGCACGAGGGGGAGCTCAGCTGGCCGGGAGTGGGGCAAGTGGATATCACAAAGCTGCAGGAAAAGCACAGTGCATGCAGTTTTGCTAGATCTTCAGCCTTGAGAAGCCTTCACAAAGAATGTTTGAAAATCACTACAACATCACATACACCAATGCTTTGCCTTTAGACTTCAGAGTAATGAAGAGCGCTGCAGTCCAGTAAATATCGTGAATAAACAGAATACAGTGAGGTCAGACAGCCCAGTTATCTCTGTCCCCTTATCTGTTCAAAGATAGATGCTTAAAATTGCTGAACAGCCACAAAATAAACAGGATTTTCAAAGATTCCTCTTAGTGACCACAGCAAAGAGGCTGGGTTTGCCAAAGGCAGGAAGAAGAGCTGCTGGGTGCTCCCCTGCTCTCAAAACTTTATCCTCTGGATTTAAGAGCCTAGATGAAAACTGAATACTAACTTTCTTTTTTTTTTTTAATCCAGCCAACACAATGTTTGGGTGGTGGTTGATACTGCAAAGATCTGACATTTACAATGTCACAGAGGCAGGTTTTGCTTTACAGAACCAAGAGCATTTGGCTTTCTCTTACACAACATTTTCTACACATACACATATACGTTATAGATATACATAGATGCACACGTTTTCACACCATTATTGCTGGTTGAGCTAAAATTAGGCTTGTGGTACAGATCCTAGTCTGATCAGGTGCCACTCATACTTTGCATTTCACAAGTGAGAAAACAGTGGATAAATATCACAGCTGCAGAATTCCTTCAGTGTCAGTTCCCCCTTCTGTACAGTGAAGTGACAAGACAGAGATACTCATCTCTGTGAGAAAACTGCTTGAGAAAGCATAAATGAATTCTCAGGCTATGGTTAAATAGAAGTAACTTCATTTGGCAGATAAGCTATGGAAGATGAAAAGTGGAAAAGCCACCGTTTTAAGGGAGGGGACACAAAACTGGAAGTTAATAGATCCCTGTAATAGTTCTTTTTGCTTTGCACAAGTATGAGGGATTAAGTAACATGAAAGACATAGAAGGATGAACCCCAGTGTAAAAATCGGCCTTTAAACTGTCCTTAGGATTTTGGGATTATCCTGAGACCTCTCTTCTGATACTGCAGATATCTTCCCTTCTGCCATGAGGACGTAGATCCTGCTAATATACATTTATACACTATTTCCCTGCTTTTAAAATACCAGAGCGTAGGATTTGCAGTGCTTTCTGAATTCCCAGGGCTTGCCCATACCAGAAGCTTGTACAAAGTAACTAACCCACAGAAAATTCACAACCTTCCCACAGTCTTCACCTAGCCTGAACTTATTGCTGCTCCAAATTCAAACAGAACTCACAAGCTGTGAACTTCTGTGAAGGGAGTTTTTAGATGAAACCTTCTAACCTGCAGGTAATCAGGATAGACAATAATAAGGTGCTTCATATTTGCACCTGTATCACTGGTGTGGTGAACATCACCAGACAACATATGAATTAATTCCAGTTAATAGTAACACTACTCCCCATTTCAGAGTTGCACATGAACCTGTATGTTGAAGGAGCAAGAGATTTAGATTAGATTTTATTTATAATTAAAATTAGTTTTATGGTGGAAGAAACTCTTGGTGGCCAAGGAGCAGCCTAACAGCTGCGTGCAGCTATCTGAAGGGCAGTTACAAAGGCAGCAGAACACGAGATATAACGAGGGGCAACAGCCACATATTGCAGCTCTTAGACTTCAAATTGGGTATTATAAAACCTCCTTTTTACTAGAAAGGTGATGCAGCACCAGAACAGCTGCTCAGATAGGCATCTCTGTCCTTGGAGATTTTTACAACTTGGCTAAAGAGAGCCACTGCTGAGCTGGTGTTGGCAATAACCCTGCTTCAAATGGAAGGACAGACTAGATAATCTCCAACAAACACTTCCACTTAGTGCTTCCAGGATTCTAAAATGTTGCAGGTATTCTACACTGAGAAAGACCAGCAATCCTTCCCAAAGGCCAAAGACCTACACACTTTTTAATCCCTTGTCTTTGTGACTTTCACGTCAAATCCTTGAGTGTATCAGTGAGAGGAGCCCATTGTGTCTGACAGTATGACAGCAGTACCAGCCTCTGCTACAAGCCTGCAGCTATTCAGGTCCTCACAGGTTTCTGTATGGGCTGCAATTAGAACTTTTGTTTAAGTGTCTTGGGATCAAAAGGAAACATTTGTCACAGTGCACTTTTTTTTTTAATCTGAAAATATATAGAGCACAACAGTTCTAAGCAGTCCTTTAACCTTAAATACCAGCCACCAGTCATTTAAAAAGTGACTGCAACATATTGAAAGAAATTAATGTATCAAGGATGCACAAGCTGAGTTTACAATATTAACATAACCTGCACTCAAAAAAAATCTGCCTCGGTCCAATGTCTTGTCGGTGAGGGAAATTCAGTTCCTAATAAATTCCTTTTCCTGTATTTCATTGTAGAGTTAAAATATGGTCTTTATGCTTAAAAGTATGAGAATGCTGTCTGAAATAGCAGATATGGACTTCAAGCCCAATTTTTTGCATTCAGCTCTGCTATAAGCTTCCTATATAACATTTTACAAGTCACTTGGACTAAATTTTGTGAAACCACCCCCTAAAGCAAATGCATCAACTTCTGAGTATCCAACTCAACACCAAGGTTTTCAGTGGAGCTATTTGTGAAGTTTGTTGAGATGGGGGGTACTTGTATTCTGAATAATCATGTTGGCTGCCAGTCCTGCAGCTGATCCCACTACTTAGCAAGGTGCTTTGAACCAAAGCAGAACCCATTTGATATTTCACTTCTGTTTACCAACCTATCAGTAAAGCTAATCCTATGACAAGAAATAATGTACAGCCTGTAACATTTCTCCCTCTTAATGGCTGTCTAGAAACTCTGGCATTATCTCATTCTGAAAAGCAAGAAAATAAATGGGGCACCTGGAGTTGTAATGAAGTGTGACTTTTATTTTCAGCACACTCAAAATAATGAATTTGTGGAGTTGCATTGGTTACAGCCAGAACTACTGCATTTGTGTGGTCACTGATTAGATGAAGCAGTTTGTTATAGATGGCGAGGCTGTCTTATTGAGATAAATGCCTTTGGTAAGAACAGTCTGATTGCCTCAATTTATTTTTCCTGGTGTTGCTATTACCCAGCTAAGAGTACAGACTGCTTTACCTGAACATTTCTATACTTTATATTTTATAGATTATTTTTACAATCTATTCTTTTATTTTAACCTGAACTTGGAATTATTCAGGACTGTATACTTGTCAGGTCTTCTGGATTTTGTATTACAGTTTCCCTTTTTTAACCTATAAAACCTTTTTTTTTTTTCTTTAGGAAGGAAAGTGGAGCATAAGGAAGGATATACCTGAATTAAGACCATTGGCTACCTATCATGAAGCAGCACTTTTGTTTAAAATTCATGGAGAAGGTTCTGCAGTTTACCTGTGCTTATTTCTCAAAAAGCTTCTGTGAATTGCCCATAAGAAAGATAATTTCTTGCTACACACAGGCAAGGCACTTGATTTCAGGATCATTATGAGAGAGAAAAGGATTTCTTGTACTTGTGAGATAAAAAGAATATCAATAGTTACAGCAGACCTTGCCTAGGACACCAGATCTAGTCTATCACAATTTGGTCTCAGAAGTAATCCCAGAAATACAGACAGAGGTTTCTAGGGAGAAGTATCTTGGGTCCTTTATTATGTAAGAACAACCGCAAGACTATGAAATTACCAATGCTTTTCTCTGTGCAAAAAAAAAAAATCTCCAAATTGCTTGTTTTGTTGTGCCTCTGCCCTTTCATTCCCCCAGAAGTTTCTCAGGTACTGGAACCACAAATAAATCCAAATTAGCATTACTAAAGCTGAGTCACATATTGCTGAATGATAATGTGGTAAGGTGGAGGTTACGTTTTTGACAAGTTGATGGGACCACAGTGGTATTCAGTTCATAATTCATTAAGGTGATGTTGCTGAAGCTCATTCCCAAGGGATTGTTGCCACAGATCACATTTGTGGCACAAATGAAAGCTTAGCTCCAAGTGGCATTACCAAGAATTTTTTACTGCATTACATTATATCCCCCAAGGTGCAGGAGAACATTACTTGCAAGTTTCATGACTAGCATGCATTAGAAAAATGAAGCCATTAAATTCTCATAAGCTTTTCAATTTTTCATGTTATAATATTCTAGAAATGCTTTTTTGTACCATGGGCATGCATCAGTTACCACAACAGCAAAGCCTGACTCTTCCTATTTAAGTCTAGTTTCATATTTCTAGTGTGTCAGGCTCTCTCCTTTTCTGTATTTTGAAATATCCTCATTGTAGGTCCTTATGGACATTTGTTTGTGGACTTCTGTCACTCCCTAATGATTGTAGTTTACATCCTTTCAGACCATGTTTTCTTCTTCTGGTTGGTAAACCCCATTTAGATACTCTTTCCACCAAGCAGAATGAAGAATTTAAATTTTTCGTTATTTCTGTTGGCTTCAGTGACCTCTCAGGCAATGTCTAAGATCCTGTGAAATGTATTTCAAAGTTTTAGAAGATAAGCACAGATGCACTCTGACAGAATGCTATGAAAACCTTTTAATTTACTTGGATAGTAAAAGAAAAAGAAATTCTCCAAATGTTGCAACTTGTGGCACAGAGGTGGACAAACAGAAATGTAGGACTAGATTAGCAGATGGCTTTGTCAACTGCCTCTGCTTTCCCGTGAACCTGTCTGAGTAACTAAAATGTGTAAGCAGAGATTGATCAGTACACATTTTCCACTCTGTAATCTCCACCCCTCAATTAGTCATCTTTTCCTAATTAAACATAGCTACAAGATGCAGAATCCTCCCTAACACATCACTCAATAAACATTTTAATCCTTATGATTAAAAGGATCTTAATATCACAAAAGTGAAAGCACAGACTCAAGAGATCCCCCAGAAGCTACAAATAATCAAGGCAGTTGATGTATGAACACACTTCTGCCTCATCTGCCTCACTAACAAGTACTGTTTAAAAAAATCACCAGCTTCCTAGTGCTGCTTACACCTTTACATGTGGTTTATAGCAGAAGCCTCACACGGTCCCTACACAAATAAACTTCAGTTGCATGTGTTTTCTGTACCGAAGAACAGACTTATGAAGGAGTAGGTGTAGCTCAGCTTCACAGACTAGAATCTGGCTAAGTCTCTCTAGTCATCTTTTTAAAAAACCCAAACATACTTCACATCACGTTTTTATCAGCAAGGAATTTTAGGTGCTGTCCCATCAATCTTTCATCAAATTTGTTTATTTTTCTCTGAAGGTTTCTACAGAGCAAGCTAGTACTGATCGATCTAATGTAATGTGAACCCCAACACAATGTGTTAAGTAATTCCCATCATGCACATTCCATGACAAAACAGACATGAAAACAATAATAAACATCCAGCATAGCAGCTGGTTAAAGAAAGCCTCCAGAATTTCAGGCTCATATACTTAAACCTATAACTTAAACTACCTCTCTTTTTGTTTATACGAGCTTACCATGCAAATGATTTTATTTGCTATTTGTAACTGAAAGATAAATCTACTTCAGAGCTCTATAACTCCATTTCAAAATCAACAGTTCATATTAAAAAGAAAAAAACCCTCGATATTTCGAAGTAGACCAAATAAATGATGTTTGCAAGCCTACAGAATATTTTGGGCAAGTTTATGAAAATGCAACATCCTTCCCTTTCCTTCTCTCTGCCCTGAGTGCATTTGTTACGCCATGTTTTACTTCATTATTTTATAGCTTCTGCATTCCCATACTTCTGTCACACTCCAAACTCTTCCTTAAAACTTTACTCCTATTAGCATGTTCAAGGAATTGCAACCTGCAGATTCTGCTCTGCACTTACTGTGCTCAAGGAATGTGTACTGAAAGATGAGCTGGAAGAATGTCTTTACTAAAAAGAAACAACGTGCCAAGAGTATTGGATCCTGTGTTCCTCTAATAGACAACCTGCAGTGCCTGAATCCCATCTGGATAAGGGATTAACAGTGCTGCTCTCAGTAATATATTACAACAGCAAAATGCTGCTAATGCTGAACCAGCAATTCCTGCCTGCCTCGATATAAAGCGTTCCTACACAAATGTTCTTGACTACTTTTAAAGTTTCACCTCTCTCCTAGTGGACTCACTGGGTTGGTTTTTTTGTCATCAGTAATACAAGACTAACAAAACAATGAATTTTCTCGTGTCAGTAGGACCTCAGGTAACACAGAGGTGGGATCCAAGTTCACGTGTAATTCTGATGAGGCTGTAAGTGCCAGGCCATGCTCAAGAGCAGGAAGTGGTTTGCTTCCATTCCTAAGCCATTCTTGCATTTTGGGGTCTAAACCTCAGGTCCAGTGCAGGTAGTTGCATTGAGCTCCCTCTGCAAGGACAGCAACAAGGACAGGTCCCATCCACACGAACAGGGTGGAGTCCTCCCACGTGCTCTCCAACTGGACCATGCTGACAAGGACTTCCAAATAAGAAAATATATCAGCAATTTGAATTTATTAGTCACAATGTGAGTTCTTCATGAGAATGGAATTTTTTCTAATACTGGCAAATACAGCACTTCTGACAGAACTACACCAAAGCAAAGAATTTGAAACAGAACAAGACAGAAACAAGACAAGTTAATGGGACACAGAAACAAGAAAAGTTAATGCTATTTATGATACCTTATATTTTACTGGTAAGGACAATGACAAACCTGACTAAGAATCCTAAGAATCATTATTCAGGATGCAACAAACAGTGATGCAACACACATTAATCCCAGCAGACAAGTTTTGGGGAAGGAAACAAGCCTAAATGTGTCCTACAGAGTTGACACTCTGCTCTTGCCCCAGAGCTCTCTCCAGTTGTGACCAGACCTTATCAAGTGTCACACAGCTTTAGAACCACCTCTGGACACACAGGAATTAAGCACGAGGGACAGGAAGAAGCACCTGTTATTCGGGAATAAAGCAATTCTGACTCAGCAAAGTAAGTTGTAAAGACATGCAACTTTCTACATCCTACCAGACTTAAGTCCCTCAGGAGGCCCCAGAGAGCAAGATAAATGAGAACAAATACCTGCTTCAAAGAGGTAATAATAACTCAGGTATAAAAAGAGTTAAGGATACACAAAGAACAACAGATGAATACAGATTGGGCAGGCAGAGTAACAGTATGAAGCAATGAGGAGTAGTTTTCCCATATAAACAGACTAATCACAGTCAAGTTTTTGTAGGCATGAAAAAAAAAAAAGGGTTTCAGAAGAGGAAACTGAATAAGCAATACAGATACTCATGTCCAGGACATGCAGCTTATGCATGAGATCACACAGATGGAGTCAAATGTAGGTTGATTCCCTGTCAAATATGAGGCTACAAAAGTCTTTAGTGGTAATATTCTGAAGAGATACAAACCAGGTCACATGACAGCTGCCAAAAGCCAAAGAAATGATGTTGGAGTAACCAAGATGCAAAATCACTGACATCTTGGATGAAAGCTCAGAGGCACAAACGGGAAAAGCTGTCATGCAGACAGAATTAGCAGGATTTGGATAGGCTGCATGGGAAGAGAGAGGAAGAACTGTGAGCTGAAGGGAACCACCCAGATTACCCATTCAGTGAGAAAGCAGCACAGCAGCTGGAAGGGGACACTGCAGGAGCCCTTGGGCAGATTAAGAGTTCCAGGTCAACAATGTTTTGTCTAAGGCAAAACAGAGATGAAGGGATGTCAGAGGTGCACTGAGACTGTGCACCATCAGTTCAAAAGCTGATGGATGCTGAGAACAGCAGCAGATTTCCAACACTTCTTACTCTACTTGATTAATTCCATTAGCTTTGCCTAGACAAGTACTTAACAATTCCAGAAAGGCTAGGCTTTACATTGTGAAGAGGTGACTGAAGCTGTTAGTGGTTTTGCTCTCTTAGAGCTACCTCTGCTTCTCACAGATTGCTCAGCAGATTTTCTCAGCTCATTAACGTTTCCCACTAGTTAACTCTCAGCTTAGACTAGCGGTTTACAGCAGTGTGTTTCCAGTAACAGGGTTTCTACCACTGCCTTTTCACACTTCTCTCTACATGATGTGCTGATTACTCTTACAACAAAACTGCTCATTTTCAAGATGCTTGCATCTTCCAACAGCTAGCAACAAAATCTACAACTTCTGATCCATCCGTACATACTGGTTTGAGGAATGTGTTGGATCCAGCAAGAGGAATCTGAAAGACTGAATGGCAATGCAGAATTCTCACTTTTCTGCATTTGTTTCTTCATCCCCACTACTTTAAAAACAATCAACCGTGTGTCAAGTTAACACCAATTATTTCCCTAAATTCATGTTTTCCTGCAACTGATCACACACCCCGAGTTAAAAGCCTTGTCAGTCCTTGCCGTTTATCAAGCTTGCCCATAAAAGTACACAATCACAGACACAACCACAGACACAGACACTAATTAACAACATTCCATTGTGCCACAAATGAGAAATGCCAAGAGATCTACCTTACCCTGCCCTGCTCCTTCCACAGCTCCCACTTCACGAGCACACATGCACACAGACAGCAGGCAGACAACAATATACATTGATAATGAATGGGTCTCTAGTGTTTCAGATTTACCTACAACCGTGTCCTTCCATCAGAACTTTAAGAGTGTTTTGCTTCTGGCACTAGCATTAGCAATCCCACAATACAGACTGTTAAGAAAAATGTTGCTCAACATTAGAGATAGTTAGAAACAGAGTTAGAAAAAACTGGGTGCTTCCCAGGACCACTCAGCAAATTACTCATGAACTGACAGATATTTTATGAACCGTGCATCACACAGCTGCTGCCAATGCGTTACGCAAGTCTCTGACCAAAAATTAAAAAAACCCAAAGAACAAAAAACCCCCCCAAAAAAACAAAAACCCCAAACTGAAAATGAATATGCTGATGAAAATGCACATCTAGTGTATTAAAGACACAAACTGAAACCGAAATAAAGGACATGCACACCGAAAGTGGACATATCCGGGGGGCAGTTGTGGGGAAAGAGTTAAATGCAGATAAACCCCTTACTGGTGAAAATAACAGTTGAATTTAATTTTGTATCCAGACTATCCAGTTCAGAGTCCTTTCATTCCTACTGTGGGAAAATAGGAAGTGGGAAAAAAGTCTCACCAAGGAGGCTCTTTGCTTTCCCTCTTTTTTTTTTTCCCTTTTTTACTTTAAAAGTCTGTGATGACCTAAAGAAAGTTAACAAAACAAAACTGTGTCCAGGATTTTAAAATCAACTTTCCCTTGGGTCTCAAAACTGCATCTGTTCCATGTGCACTGAATTCAGCTCAAATATATTGTTCAGGATGACTAAAATATCGGTCTACAGTGAGGGACATGAACATATAAAAGTAAATAGAAAGAAAAAGGCAGTTAAGAGGTGAATACATATAGCTTAAGCTACTGCTTGGTAGAGTTAACTCCTCTTTCAATATTTCTAAACCATTATTTATACAGTTTATACTAGAGCTAATTGTCCCAACTACAGTTTATCATTTAGCCTACTAAGTAGGGCTTTAAAGGGGCATTTCTACATTCAGCCTGCAATATTACCTTGTAGGCAGCTTGTCTCATAAACTGCTTTGCAGGCTGTTTCCAAATAGCAGGCACTGTAATAACCCATCTTACTTCAGTGTTTTCGAAATCTGAGCCTCCTTGGTCACTGAGCTCCTAAATAAAAGGAAAATAGAGGTGAATGCAAAATCATAGGTGTCTACTTTACAAGAAAATATTATTTTCTGCTGGCTCCAGTAACAGTAACTCTTTCTTTTCAATTTTCTTCCTGTTACATCTATGCTACGAGTCAGGATTACTTCCAACCTGCCAAGAATGCTTTACTGTGCCAAAAGGTGGGATTAGGGTTGAAGCTTTCTCAAGGAGACCTATAGAAAATTTTACTGCTAACACGAAGTAGAAAATTTGGTTTTTGCAAAAGCAGCAATTTACAGAGTGTTACAAAACATTTATATACATTCCTAGTCTCGGTGTGGTATTTGTTGTTGGCTTCAAGAATTCACACATCTTGATTAATAGACAGAAAAATATTTGAAGTATCACTGATGAACATTATGTTTTACAAACTGGATTTTTCAATTACTTCTTTATACACCACTTACCTTTAAATCAAAGTTCTACAAGGCAGTTAACAAGGGGAAGTTACAGTTAACCCCCTTTAAAAAAATGACTGATGGCTCCTTCAAAATTTTGCTTTAAGCAAACATTCAAAACTAGTTTAGTACTTTTATTGTCCTTTTTTTTCCCCTTAAAAAGAGGAAAGTCTGTACTGCATTTGCAAATTAGGTGATATACTGACATGTTTTGGGAAAGGTTCCAAGTAAAATGTCATTACCATATGTCCTATCTAAATCTCCATCCAAACATAGAAAGGTTCAGAAAGGTGAACAACAGGCCTTTAGAATGTAAAAAAATGTTTCTGCATGTGCTGAGCCAAGGTGTTGTGTTTGTTTAGCTATGCTGCAGTTCAAAAATCCATGCTGGAAAAGTAGTACCTTTATACTGCACAAGGCAACAGAAATGGACAGATTATAGTCCAAAGTAACAGCTCACTTACATTGCTTGTCTAATTAGTTCCAGGATTTATTCATAAATGCCAGGGATTTAGTTATTAACATCAGGAAAGGACATAGCCCTGAACAGGCAGCACAGTAAATACGGGATTGTACCCAACCACATTCACATTTGCTAAGAATTTCCCCCCTATATGCACAGCTTCACAGTCATTGTGACTCCACAACCAACCACAAAACAGTTTAAAAAGTCTTTGAAACAATGAGGCATTTGAATTGAAGTGGTAGGATTGTTTCTCTGCAGCCATAAGGAAGGGACTGAGGTCTCAGAGAAAATAAATTAAACCCATTCAAAAAAGTAGGTTAGCTTTTAGCAACAAGGCTATTTTAAACAATGCTTGCTTGGATGAGTATTCTGACTCGACCCAGGAACTGCTATGCTTACGTTGATATTATAGTGGCACCTTTGAAGCCAATGTTTACTTAATTCACAACTGACTGTTTACATGAGGTTTTAAATCCCAAAACCAGTATACTGGGGCCATGTATTTCACTGGAGAACACAATAAACAACCTTGTGACCACAGACATTTCAAATGGGAAATGGAAAATAATACTTCAGACTATTGTGAGCTCTTCCGAGTCCACAGCTTGCCCACGGTTTCTACACCTGCCTTGCTTTGTTTACATCAAATACTACTGAGGTCAAAACTTGGCAAGGTTAAAAGTGTTAAGCTCATATTTATACCAGTTATAAATACAGAAGATCTTGATAAGGAAGTATTACCCCACCTTTAAGGCCTGTTCTTTAAAGAATTGCAGAGCGTAAGCAAATATCTCAAGTGCTTTGACTTTTTTGCCATTTGCAGCTGTCAGATCTGTCTCCATGGTAAGATTCTACATGAAAGAAAATAACAGGAAGTTACTAAAAGAAGGTAAACATCAAATTTATTCCCACTGCTTGAGGAAAGGGAATCCTTATTATCCACCTGGTTAGGAAAAAGTGACAAAACTGTTCTGAAGAGGATTTAACTCATCACTTGAATTTCCTGGAGCATGACATTTTGCTGCTTATTTAGACTCTGTTTTTAAACACTTACCATGTCTACATATAACTGCAGGCAGAGAGGAGAATATGGATTAAATGTTAAATAATTGCAATAAGTGTATCTGTAATTAATTGCAACAAAGCTGTACATGCAAGAAATTTAAGCCCAGCTAAGAGCTAAAAGCCTAGATTTTTGGCTTCCCACCAACACGTGAAACCAGAAAACACCTAAACAGAGAAAGTACTGGCTGATTCCCAAAACTCTAGAATGGATTAAAGACAAAAATATAATCAATAGGAATAAGGTCAAATTAACAATATGATTTGTACTTGCAGTTCTGGCAACAAATTCTGGGTGAATCTGCTCCTCTGCACTAGAGCTCAGTATGGCTTTTATATTCCATTTCTGCTGACTAGATTTACAGAACAAACCAACTCATGCAGACTCCCCAGACAGCTATGAATTTCACCCAGGAAAATTAGGACATGAAGATCTAAGTAAAGTAGATACTGAACTTCTAAGATTTATAGAGAAGGTTGGCAAAATACAGTTGCCAAATGCAGTGAGAAGCAAAATGAATCATATTAAACTGAAGAGTTTCATTTCCTTAATTTACCCTCTAAACTTAGAAACAGAGCTGCTTCACATCTAGTTGACAGTCTTCAGGCAAGGATCTAGTACTGTTCAGAGGAAAATAATTTGAGTAGCAAATGCTACTTGGTTCTTACTTACACCAGTGGTATGTAGTTTCATCTTAAACTTTTCAAAATACAACCAGTGCTTCGATTCAGTGGGATCCAAGTCATGGTAGAAATCTCTTGCTGCATAGCCAAAGCTATGAAACTTTCTCTCTGGAGTTAGGAGGATAGTGGTCGGTGTCTTCTGGTTGGATACACCTGGATCTCCACCTTCCCATCGTCTAACCAAGAAGTGAAACAGCTTCAGTAAGTGATGTTCAAGTTTAGAGCCACAGAAAAAAACCAAGTGTAGCACGAGAAAAACAATGTGGTGGCAAATTTCAGAGACTGCTTTTCCCTCCAAAGATACTAATTTCAAACCCTGTAATATCAGAATCAAATGGATTTATTCCCACCTAAGAAAAAAGGACTGCAATCTTCATTTCAGGTAATTCAATACATGTTGTGGTTAGTTGTATAATTCTTAAGGACATAATCATACTCAGAAAAGAATACAGATTCCCTGAAGTAAGACATACACAATTAAAAAGGAAACAGTTTTGTACTTAAATTTTCTAACTAAGCATACAAATGTAATAAACATTGTACAGAAAAGAAAAAAAAAAGTAATTATCCTGGAACACAACAAATAAAAACCCAAATCTGGGCTATCCAATTTCTTATCAGGCTCCATGAATGCTTACTTGTATGGGATATTTTTCCTACACAGAATTAGGGACCTGCTCAAGCCATCTGCACACCGCTATGGAGAAGTTGATCAAATCCCTGTTTCTGTCACAGAATACTCTCTGAAACAAGACAAGCCAGTTCAAATAACATCTGACCACATGCCTCATTTCCTGGACACCTGAAACTCTGAAGACATGCCTGCAGATGTTGACCTCTCTGCATTGCACTCTCTACTCACCTGAAGTTGATGAATTTTGTGTTTTAAACGCCAAAAATGCTGTAAAAGTTTTAATCTGTCAAAAATGAAGCAGATTCCCCAACTCCCAAGTATCTCAAAGGCACCAAAATATTTCTGTCACTACTGGTGAATATAACTATCCTCTCTTATCAAGATTGCAAAGGTATCTTTGAGGATACCCAAGAGGCATAAAAGTAGTAAGGCAGAAGTAACCCAAAGCTTGTTTCACAGAATGGACAAGAAAATAAAAAAGAACATCTAATATGGGAGCATGCAGCAGCAGGAATTGCAGGGGGGCTTGGCAGGACAACAAGGTCAGACAGTAGAAGGTCGTCCCAGAGACAGCTGTGAACATTCCTGTCTTCTCCTCACTTTCCCATCACAAAAAAACCCCAAAGCAGAATGGAAGAACAAGAAACTCGCATGACTGTTCCTCCCCCCCCTCACATACAAGTGCGTTCAGTATGAGAAACAAACATTTACCAGAAGAGATTTTCTTAAAAAGGCATCAGTAGAAAATCTATTTATGCTCTCAGACATAATCATAACACAACTCAAACACGAGCCAAGCTAAGATCACAAAGGCAACTGCATTAATTATTAAACTACATGTTGATTGCTTTTTTCCAAAGATAGCAAAACAGCAAAACACAATTTCAGAATATATTCCTGCCGAAGTCCTTATTCTGAAGCACAAAAAGGCTGCTCTGTGGTAGTTGTTTATGTGACATAGGCAGATTATTTAGAAAGAATAATTTCCATTTCACTCTCAAAAACACTTGAATCCATTGAAAATAAACTGACCTCTAGACCAAGGCAGAAAACTGACATGGAAAACTGCAAACTAAGGGGCTCATACTCGGCAAAGTACCAAGGACCAGGACCTTGTAACATGCAGGAAGCCCTTCAGACCATTCAGCTGGATCAAACAGAGCAAAATCTGCCCCCTTTTGCACAAGCAGCAGCGACAGCAGAGAATACACGTCTGAACTTTTTTCAGTGTAGAGGACAATTCCGCTGCTCTGAAGCAGAAACAGCATGATGAGGAGTAGAATGATTTCCATCTTCATCAACTTGAAAAAACTTTCCTAAGCCTCCCTAGTTCTGCTACTCAGCCCCTGAGCTATGATCAGCTGGCAAGGGCTCTGCTCCAGGTCATTTCTTTCTAACCTGCTGCTAGAAATGCACTTGGTCAACTCCAAAATCTTTGAGTAGGTGTTACAGCAAACATATGGTTCCAATGTGAAGAAGCTGGGATCTCACAGCCTATGAACAGAAAACACTGCTATTTCACCAGATTGTTAAATCCCACACACCCGCTGCAGGCAGAGAGGAGACAGACTGATATCGTTTTCCCTTGGAATCATTAATGATTCATTCTGAGTCACCGGGGGAAATGCCATAAATAGGCTGTGGCTAATAACAATACTTCTTTGTTTTTCATTATGGCCAGGCACATCTTCTCTTTCCGGAACAAGTACACTTAAGGTGTGGTTTAAATGAAGACAAATTTATGTTCAATGCTGCAGGCTGAAATTTTCAAAGCCACCCAGAGAATTGGATGCTCACTTCCTGACGAGTTTCTGATGGAAACTAGACACGATAATTGCTCAGCCTGTATTCAGTCACAGAAAGGGCAATAAGGAAAGAGAAAGTGAAATATGACTTAACCTTTGGCAATCAGAGACTTAAAAATATTGCCATGTGACATTTTTCTAGAGAGAAGCAGCTGCAAAGGCACATGAATGGTAACCCCTGGCTGCAACACTCTTCTCAGGTGGAGCTCTGGCCTCACTCCAGTTAGTGGGGGCTTCTAGTCAGTAGAGCTAGGACTGCAACACCTTCATTCGCAGTTTTCTTTCTTGGCACCAACACAGGCAAAATAACGGTAATAATGCTCTTAAGAAAAATAAAAATAAAATACCTATTAAAAGCATACACTTATACAAGCCAGAATTGCTCTAAATGCATATGGGGGATATTTTCTCAGAGCAGGATGAGAGTCAAAAAAAGCTATTCAGATAGAACCAAGGCAGATTTTTGCCCAAATGCAGACATATGAGCTTCTAGGCTGATATAGATGGATTATCTCAACAGTGATACAAACACCACAGACCTGTTTATATCCACAGAACATCTTCACTGTGTATGAGAAGTAAAAATAAGAGACAAGAGGAAAGTTAGTGAGGAAAGGGCAATAAGGTTATACTAAGGTTAGAGAAATGTCCTTCCTTACACTTCAATCTGGCTAAAAGACAGATCAAAGAGTGATCTGTGCAGAGTGATGAGATTTTCATCCAGGGTTGCAGCAAAACAGTCAAGGAAATGAAAGAGTGTGATCATCAGAATGCAGATGAACGCCACGAGGAGTGTGTATGCAGCAGAAAGGCAAGTGTATGTCTCCCAATAACTACAAGCCAGGGAAGAGAAGGAAAAGATAAAAACTGAAGGTTGAAGTTACACTGAAAAGAGACCACAATCTCCCTCCTTCCGAAGACGGGCTGCAATTTGTTTCACAACTACACGCATTTTTCCATTTATTTTTTTCCATTTGTGAAATACTCACATTCAGTTTGTTGCTATTTAACCAGCAGCCAAAACATCTGTAACTTCATGTAATGGCATATAAATCAATAGGAGTTTTTCAAAATTGTAACAGTTCGTGTATTCTCTCCAAATGTGACATTATTAACTCATTCTACAGCAGCAAACTTTCATTATGGCCCTGGCACTGCCCTGCCCGCTGAAGTGAGGAACTCATGGCCAGGCTGTTCATATGCATTTACTCACAAAGTCAAGGTATGCAGCAAATAACACATACTCCTACTCTGCAACAAGAACCTGAAGTCAACCACAACTACCTTTAAGAGAAGCTGGGGGGAAACTACAAGAGTTGTCACGTGTGAAGTTGTACCTAACATTGATAAAACAGTAACCAGTGGTTTGCAATCAAAGTGAAGACATTCATTGTTCATCAAGAAACACACACCCAACTGCAAACACATGCTGACATGAGTGAGGCTACTCATACATTTAAAGATAAGTATATGCTTAAAGAACTCCGTTAGGTCAATGCTTATAAACTTGGTTTTTTTTAGTACTGGGCATCACAGCAAATAAACACACACAAAAACATGACTTTGCCTACTAATTCCAGGACTGGAACAATGGTGCTGCTGACATTACACTCAAACTTGGTGCTAAAGCCCCTTATGTTCATTTCTTCCAAAGTAGGACCTTCTAAATAAACCCATCTTATCCTTCCCAGAGACATTTACAGAAAAGCAGCTTTGTTAAAAGGCAGTCAGAAATCTAAGTATCTGGAAAGGATCAACACTAAGGAGGGAAAGGTGGAGAAAAATCTTAGGAAGCACAGAGGACCATGCATCACTGGTATGCTTTATTTTAACGTAAACATTCTCCAGTGCGGGCGGGAAGTTACATTTACTCTCCTGAAATATTTGTAAATTATCCTCCATGTAAGCCTCATTATATACAGAGTTTGAACCTCTTAATACCTTCTGAATTACTGAAGACTTATTTTGATAGATATACTATTCTTTTAATTGAATTTCATAATTTCATGAGTATTTATATATAAATATATATAAAAACATTACATACATTATTTGGTAAGTCAGTTTGAGTTATATCTTGTCCAAAATTTTTAAATAATTCTTGGTATTAAAATATTTTCCATTGTTTGAAATACCTACTGGAAATATGAATACATTTGCCCCCCTGCCAAATGTTCCTCTCTTTTGGTTGGAAATCCATGAAGTAATTTATTTAATTTCTTTCAATATCAGTATCTCATACAATAACTACATAGTTCTGAAATCACAATCATGCTACCGTTATTGTGTTAGGAAGAAAATACCGTGTTTTGAACCATAAGTAGTAAAGTCAATTAATATTAGGAATATATTCTCAGCTGGGCACAAAGCACCTAGATTTCAGTGTCCCCAATCATCGACCGCAGGAAGCCTGGTACCCTGGAAGGAGAAGCTAGTCTGTAATGTGAACCCAATGGCAAAATCAGGTCCTAAGATAAAATTTTGAGTCCAAAGAACTTAAAGGACTTCCCTAGAAATGGTAGGGATTTCACACAGTAAAATCTCCACAGAGGTTATAGGAACAGCATAGAATATACACTTTAGGCTTGCTCAGGTACAGCTTCAGTGATGTCTTCCCTCATTGCATCCAACTTCTTCGAGAACTTTAATTAATTACTTGCTGTTGAAAAAGAATAGGAACTGATAAACTTGGGTTTCAACTTGCCAATCCTGTAACCTTTCTGAGACAGCAACACATGGCCTGTCTTTTGACTTCCAGCCTCGTGCACCTTCCTATGCTGGTCAGAGAACACCAGAGGGTTGAAATGCATAAAAGCCCTCGAATGCATTAGTTGTCCATACTGCAAGTGGTACTTTGCACCTGGATGGCACAATACTATTGAGAAATTTACCTCCCCTTAGACAGTATTTCAAATCCCTCAGTTGCATTAGAAATATCCTGCAACCATACACAAACCAACTATGCAGGCTGACTGCACAACCAGTACTGTCTGCTGAGATTAAGGGAGCTGCATTCAGCCAGCATCTTTGCTTAGAAAAATTGCAGTATATCACACTAGACTGCAGCAAATTAGTCTTTTTGACCTTTTGTTCTCAGTATTGCAGAACATTACCTACTGCTATAACAGCAGCATTGTTTAGACTCTTCTATGACTGAGCTTTCATACCTAATTTATGTCTGAAATTATCTTGGCCTTGTTACAACACAGTGATTTTAAATATACTTCATTAAGAATTGTACAGGTTTTTAATAAAAAGACTATAAAATAGTGTTACAATGGTTTGCAGGGCATACCTTTCCGATAGCTGCCGTAACAGCTTTTCTATTTGCAATTGTATTGATTTATATTGTGTTCATTTAATTAAGAAATAAAAAAATACACCCTCCCCTTAAGAGCATCTGAAGTCTGTCCCTTACAGACATATAAAACAGAACAGGTTTCACATTAAACCTTCATTTTTACATTCATGCCTTTTGATTACTTATTTCCCAGTATCACTGGTTCATTACCATAGATTGGATTCAAATTTAGTGCTTCAAAGCTTCAATGAGTCAAACAAACTACCAGTTTCTGGGTGCAAGTAACTTAGTGTTGTAGACAAGTATGATTCCAGGGGATAGGCAACTCCATGGGAAATGCCATGACCCTCAGTAAAGTGTAGCTTCCCTCGGTATCTAAGATAAGGGTATCCTCACTTAATAACGCTCCCTGAAAAATTCTGTATACTCACTGATCCCTCCTTTCACTTGTGTCATCTTGTAAACTCAGCAAAATAAGAGGATATGTTTCCACTGACTACTAAAGCAAATTAGAATACAATAACATGCAGCAGAAAGTTATAATAATGAGAAATATTCATACTATGTCTAGACAGATCTAGACACTTCAGGCTCCTGTAGGAAATACCTATGGCTACTGCAGACAGCCCATGTTATCACAGTCCAAAAAGAAATGCTGCATTGCAGCCCTTACCTCATTACATGAATACATTCTGGTTCCTTGGTGAAGCTGTAGGCGTAGCCACTGGATGTTGTGCCAAAATCAATAGCCACAACAACAAGAAATAACTGTTCTACAGCATCATCTGCATCAGAGTCCTTCTGTTAAACAGTAGAAGCAAAACAGACACTGAGTAACTGATCAGAATAACTGTAACTCATTTTTGCTCTCTGTGACATGCATATAAAATAAGGGCTTCCCTACAGTTGCATTTGTAACCAAAGCTGACACCAAAAAGCTGCACATTCCAACAGAAGAGGAAATTCAATATATGACTCAACATATTTGCTAGAGCCTTTTCTATATAACCTTCTGATCAAGAGTTTCCTTCATACCAATTTTTTGAATACTTCTTATGCTATATTGTTAAAACTTACGGTTTTGGGGTTCTTTTGGTTTTGGGGTTTTTTTTCTTAAACTCATCAACTGAAGAATATGTTTATATCCATTGATGTGGTATATTTGGGACTTATTTGGTGGTTTTAGGAGTTAACTGTGTGATAACCTTGAACATGAGGTACTATTACTATTCAAAAATAACGGAGACAGAACAATCCAAATACAGCAATAAGCTTTATATCCCATGAAAATTATTTATTTATGAAGAATTTACATAACACTTACTTTGCAAGCACTACATGTATTTTTTCCTCCTGCCTGTGCTAGAATGTGGAAAGCTGTTTGGCTGCTTATGGTGAATTTGAATCCTCCTTCCTGTCTTTTACCTGTAATCCTGCAATCCCTGAAAAGCATGCTCAAGGGCAATGTAGGAATGTTAACTAGAAGAGCTGGAAGGATTATGGCTCAAATCATAATGATTTGATACAAAGCATGGTGTGAATAAACAAGTTGTACCATTCCCCAGTAGGGTGTGGCCAAACCTAAACCCTATATTAAGGAGGAATAAGTAATAAACAAACAACTTAGCAAGACGAGAACTGAAGCAACTGTCGTTATCTTTTGCAGACGAACTGCCAAATGTTCTCACTCTGTGAGCAGTGTACCACCATACTCCCCACATATCTCCATGAGTTCCATGCCTACTACTTCCAGTACATTTCCATTGTGCCCCTACTTTTGCCAAGATCAGCCCATAGGCCTGCTACTTAAAATGGAGAAACAAGCGTAGTAAGTTTCAGTCTCAAATCATGAAAAGATTTATTTGGATTCTCCTAATAAAGCTTTTCAACTAGGACAATATGTTCTTTATATGTCTTCCTCAAAGAGTTTAAGGAGCAAATGTAACTGAAATAGGATGTATAGAGTTTATGGAGAAAGAAGGTAATAAAAGCAAAAAATTATGAGTGAGAACACTGGAAATCCTCAAGATGGGTTCCTGCACAACTCTGAACTCGATTCAGAAAGCTAAGGCAGAAGTCTGACAAGGATAAAATGTGTTCTGAACACGATCCCTTGCGATATCATGAAATACACTGTGCATTTCCTGTGTTACAAATCATACAGATGATCTTAAAAACACATGAGACTTAATAGAATTTTATCAACAAAATCAGCATGATGTACCAGAGACTAAACACACTACCTTTATGGGACATTTGCTTGCTTTTAAATGCTTATAGAAGTTGTTATTTCCTTAAGAAATGAATCCAGTTCTATTTTGAGTTTCTCTCTCTAGATGTATGTATCTATAAGAGGAGATTCTCTGGAAATTTGGATTTTACTGTTCAGTATCATATGTATCCCTCTGTTTTTTTCTGAATGGGACTTTTCAGGGTCTGCCTAAATAAATCAGTGATAACGACAGGGGCAGAACTTGGGAACCCTGAGGATCAAGAAGCCCCTGTGTTTGATACAAAAGTATGCAGCAAGTAAAAAACACCAGGACCAAAATGAAATGAATGAGAGGTCTGTCATCAACCCTAGTGTGACCAAAATTTCACTTAATACTGTGGATAGCATAAAGGGGATCACTATGTGAGAAAATGACAGCTTTCTGAAGAAATTATGTCCCACTAAACAGGCAGGAGAAAGTAATGTCAGCACACAGTATATGTTAAGAGTGCATTTCTTACCACAATATGTGAAGGAGAGAGAGGAGTTATTCCAGGGTCTCCCAAACTTTTGGCTGGTGATGAGTAAGCAGATGTGGAAACTGCATCTAAAAGGAAACAAACGTTTGTCAGTGTCAGTAAGCAGAAGGAGCAGGATATGCTTTGCAAACAGCTATACTATTTTTCAGTTGTAACAAATCTGCTAAAAAAAAAAAAAGCAAATTCCACAGCTGCCATCTAAAATACATGGTTTGCCCTTACAACATGCTAAGACACAGCTGCAGTTTCGGTTTTAAAATATTTGTCTGACCTTCATGACTAACTTCCATTCTTTCGCCTCTTACATTGCCATGTACAATTTTAAAATTCTTCCTAAATATATTCACAAATCATAGCTGATACAAGCATCTCGAACACTACACACTCACATTACGGCCCAAGATTTAAATGTCAACGCAGAAACTAAACACGAGTTGTGAGATCAAAAAAGACAGATTAATTTTAAGAGAAAAAAGGAGTTGATAGCAATTGGACAAAGCAGGAAGAGTAAGTTGCAATTAGTCCATCCCGAGCCTTTATTCTGAAACTTTCCCAATACTGTCTCTGTTTTTATTCTTCAATACACTCTGCACTGAAACATCTTGCAGCTGTTAATACTACTGCAGGACAGAATCCAGCTGGGAAAAAGGAAAAGTATTATTAACAAGTCATCAAAGAAATATTTCTACCCGGCATACAATACTAAAACTTCCTTTAAAGGAACAGACTAAATGAGTGATAAATACTGTAATGCACTATTTGTATTTACACTGTTGATGACAGAAAAGGAAATGGCTTATTAAAACAATTAAGTATCGATGAGTTAGAAGGATTTATATATATGTTCTTTTATGAAGAATGCAACAGTTTATCAAAATGTAGAAATGGTACCACACGCTCTGTTCCTGCTCATACCCCTCCGTCCCCAAATGTAAGCCTTGAGTTTACTGAATTCTCTTCTGTAGAATACAAGCTAATGAGATGTAAAGCAGAATGATGTCATAGGTCTCTGAAGACTAATAATCATAACAAATATTAAATAATACATTTCAATGTATTTTTATTACTATTTGGATATATCACACACTTATGCATAGCATGTAATTCCGAGACATGACTGACAAGTCAAAGCTTTATTCCAAGATGACACAGAAGCTACTCTTAAAGACCTTAGAATCACTTAGTGAAGAATCCTGTTGTTTCTGGTAATCAAATATGTGTTGTTTCCCAGGGAAGATTCAAAAACTCTGAAGTGGGCAACTATGGGATAATCTGCCACAGGAAAAAAAAAAATGTTCCTCCAAATCTTAATACTGCTCTTGTACACCATTTATTTCTTTAAGTTATAACATGCATGTTCAGCCCAGTTTTCAGAAGCATTTACAGAAGCAGAATGTTTGCATTTCATACACAAGTTCTCCAGGAATATATAATGTTACTCCTCTTGCAGTGAAGTACAAAAAGTCACAGGTCAAATGTGACAACCACAGGGTCTGCTTGGTTCATTACGATATCTTCAGAACAGATGCTGTTATGAGCCTCCTTTGTGCCATTTCTTCCTCTTTTCCAAACATTAATTATTGTACCATCAAAGTATCATTGTTTTAGAATTGAAGAACAGTATTTCAGCACAGAAAAAAAAAAAAAATAAAAGGAATAGATCACAATATATATTCCTTGCATCTTGCTGTCATTCCAGGGGAGTGCTGGACCTGAACCAGTACTTCCTGAGCAGACCAGGACATCACAATACTGACTCAACATCTTTGGAAACTGGCTCTTTCCCCCTGCTGAGGATGCTGACTTTGCAGACCAGAAATGCAGACATCAATCACCCTCTCTGTGCTGCAGTGTTTCTCCCTGTCACTAGTTCTTTTGGTTACCTGTTTCCGCACTCATGTTTCAGGGATGTGCCGGAGCAGGTCCAGAAGAGGCCACGAAGATGGTCAGGGAGCTGGAGCACCTCTGCTCTGGAGACAGGCTGGGAGAGAGGCTCCAGGGAGAGCTTAGAGCACCTTCCAGTACCTAAAGGGGGCCTACAAAAAAGTCAGAGAGGGACATTTTACAAGGGCATGTAGTGATAGGACAAAGGCTTTAACGTGAAAGAGGGATTTCCACCAGACATTAGGAAGAAATTCTTTACTAAGGTGGAGACACACTGGCACAGGTTGCCCAGAAAAGCTGTGGCTGCCCCATCTCTGGAAGAGTCCAAGGTCAGGTTGGACAGGGCTTGGAGCAACCTGGGCTAGTGGAAGGATTCCCTGTCCATGGCAAGGGGGCTGGAACTAGATGATCTTTAAAGTCCTTTCCAACCCAAACCATTCCATGATGTATTTTCCATCCTGTCTTCAGTTATCAGCCTGGGTGTACCTTGAGAACTTATTTATAGCTTTATATGTAACTCTGAAAGTCCTGTGTGACAGTATACACATTCTTTTTGTATTTCACAGAACGGTGATTAAATAACCAGTGCAATATTCATATCCATCCAATGAAACTGCTAATTTGGGTTCTATCAAGAATTTATTCACTTAACTTGTGATAATCCAGAGGTGTAAAAAGTATACAAGGACACTCACTGTATTCCTAAGTGTAAAAATATTTGCTAACACATCCAAAAATGTTAATCAGAGCTAAGAGGTCTGTCTTAGAGATCCACAAAAAATAATGTTTAAAACAGAAAATGGACTTGGATACTTTCATCAAAAATCTTTGAAACAAATTGTCCATTTCACTTTCAAAATGCTCTTGACAACTTACACATAAAGGCTGAAATTGTAGAAGTACTAACTTTTTCTAATTTTCATCAACTCTTCAGCTCTGCTGGAAGGTTAAGGTGATTTATCAATATTTTCAGAAGAGAGAAAAAAAACCCTTCCAAACCCATGACCATTCTGCACTGTATTCACTGTTGCTCCTGCAAACACCCACCTAAACAAAATAACTCTACAATGCATCCTACATGCCACCAGCCTAGAGAAAGATCAAGCAAGGAAAATCATGGAAGGCAGTGTTACAACCTCTAAAGTAGCACAGTACAATTTCAACCCAAAGGTACTGTTAGAGTGGTTTTATAGAGGTGCTATCATGTTGGCAAAAGCAGAAGTCGGAACTGATTTCATGACTACTAACTAATCATGTGCAATAACTGGGGCAGCCATAACTGTGATATTCCAAGTCTGCTGTTAAAAGAGGCTCTGACGTGCTCAGAGAGGTAATAAATGAATAACTGCAGTTCAGAATACTGGGAAGTTAAGATGTGTTTTATCAGGGTGGTTGGCACATACAGAAAATGGTTTGCAAGCCCATCACCCTGAATTCAATGTCAAGACTTCTTCTCAACAAGCAGTGAAAGAGTTGTTAAAAGCAAATGAAATTAGGCAATTTGTAACATCATACTCCACCTTATCTAAACTGCAAGGTGTTAAAATATATTTGCCCATGTGGGAGCTTTCATATTTTCCTTGGGGAAAAAAAAAATGTGCATGTGCCACCAATTTTTACAGCTGTGTTCTGAAGAGCAGTAAATTAATGGATATTCCAGGATATTTAAGAATCTCTTATCTCTAAAGCACTGTGATTGGTTGATCTGAAGGAAACAAAAGCATCTGCTCCAAGCTAGAGATTGGGAAAAGGGTTGCAAGGAACCTGATTTGCAATCACGAAACAGAAAAAGGATGCCTAGCCTGTCCTGGATAGTATCACGGTATTTGGAACAGTTCTTAAATGCAGAATAACTTATTAAGGCTTCTGTGATGAAAAAACATAATCAAGTGATGTTCCACATAGCTCAAGTTCCAGCTTTATCTCCCATGTTTACTAAGGATCTCTATCTGTGTCAAACTACATGCTATGAAAGGAACATAAAGCTAAACAGTATACATTAAATAAACAGTTAATCCTTGCCAATTTGCACACCAAATTAAATGGACGAATCTGATCTAGAATTCAAATTAAAGTAAGTCTTAGAACACTTACACCGGTATTGAAAATAATCTTTTTCTAAATACAATGCAAACTTCTTGAATAAAAATTCTTAAATTTACTTACAATATGAATATTGACTGTCTACATCAGAAGCTTGGGTAATTTCACTAAATGTGTACAGAACAACTTTGAGCACATCTTTACAATTTCTGACTTTAGTCCTAACCTAAGCAATTGCCAAAGAACACCCTGAGAATTTTCAAGGTGAGCAGAAGTGAAAGGGAAAACAGAGAAGGCTCCTATTTTCAGACTTTTTTTTAACATTCAGAGGGTCCTATCCGATTTGCAAATTCTTAAACAATTACAGAATTTGTTGAAATTATGAGATCAGCAGATACTGTATTAATAATGAATCATATTCATTATCACATTAGCTCCAATTGTTGGTTTGGTAGATTTAATTTAAATTATTCCTTCTTTTCATCTAAACACATGCAAGAGTTTATTTTCTGTGGTTTCCTGCAATAGGCTAATCAGTTTAGCCTTTTCTGTTCTTCAGTAAATGATCAGCTACATTGTAGATCTGAACAAAAGGCAATAAAGGATTAACCTTTAAGTGTCACAGAATGCAGAGTAGAAGCAAAGTCCAGAACATTTATAAAAACTTAGCTGATGCAGTGTGAATAGTTCACTGATTGCATGTTCAGCTGAATCTGATTTTCTAATAGATCCAGAGAACAGGACCAAGTTCATCATTTAACTAGAAAGATCAGTTAGTGGCAGCTGCAAGGCTATATGTCTATACTGAATATTTGGGAGCCCCTGCCACACATTCCTATTCAGGTCTGAATAAATGAGTTTTAGTGAACAATAAAAAAAAAAATAAATAAAAATCAGACATGGACCAGTACAGGCCCAGATAACCAGTTTCAAGACAGTAGCTTCAACCTGTTTCTAGAAAGATGACTGCTCAACCTCACAATCACAACCCACTAAGGTGGGACTCAAACAAAATAACGTTTTAGCAGCCACACAAAATATTCTCCTTTCTACTAAATTCAGTTTTTATTAAATATTTCAACTATATATAACTGAACTACACAAGGTATCAGTAAAATCTCCTGCTTCACATTTCATGGAAGTTGTTCCTTTCCCCAGCGAAGCAGGACACCACAGCAGAGGATTCCTGGCAGAAGGTTCCTGGCAATCCAAGCAACACAGGCAATGGATAAGCTGAAGTGGGAATCATCTCTACAAATTTAACAAGACAAGTCAAAGTAGGAACCCCGGCAGCATGGTATGCTACTCCACAGCAGAAAGCACAGACCTGCTGTTAGATCAGGAAAGGGGGGACATTTCTCAATATGTCTCGTGTCACCAGTACACCAGATGGAAAAGAAACAACTTTAAAAAAAAGAAGAAGAAATAATGACTCAGGCCCCAACTTTGCCATGTGAAACCCCACCATGGATCTTTTCAGGCACATTCTGCAGTACTGTAGAGTCATGCCTACAAACGCAAAGGCTTGGTGAGGAGAGAAGCTGCATTTTCCAAACCTTCACAGACCTCACTTCCAAGTGATGGTGAAAGGGGCTCACCATGCTCTGGATCTCCTACAGCTGTTTTGCAAACCTGAAAATCAGCAGCATCACCACGATATCACCTCTCTGTAGGAACACACCTGAACACTCCTGTGTACGTTACATCCCAATCAACCCAAGTTAATCTCTATTTCTATCCTGACAGAGTGGCCACAAACCCAACACTTGCTAATTAAACTCTTCTCGCTGTTTTCTGAATCAACAACAGGATCAATACTATTCCTTATTTCAGATCATAGTTACAGCATTTTAAGAAGTGCTTTTACAATGATAAATTGGTTTTTTCAATCCGTAACATACAATGCAATTATTTCCATTCGTTGTGCAGATCTCAGTCTCTGACTGAGCTCGAGGATCCGCTCCAAGGACCCAGTGGTTTCTCGCACACCCTTTTCCAGGCTCTCCCAAACTCCCAACTGAGCCAGTACACCACCCTGGCTCAAGAGGAAAGCTGCAATAACTCTTTCTGATTTGTATAATGCATATCCACTGTTCCATATGCCAAAACATTTGAGCTCTCAGCTATTTGTAGGCTGATGAACCAGATGCACAGGGTAAGTTGGGATGCATTAAACCTACTAAAAATGCCACTATTACAAGTGATTTTTATGGCTCCAATAAATCCAAGTTAACTGAATTTACCATGTATGTGCTGAATACTTTCTCAAATCAAACACTGGCACATATCTGATAGCCAATTTTCTGGAATTTCCAGCCATCCAGCACATGGTGAGAGTGACTGATGCTATATGTACATATACTGCTCTGCTCTCAGTCAGACTGCTGGCAATACCAAAATATTAGCCAAATGCTTTATTTCCTATTTAGGCACTGTGTCTGGATTTAAAATTTAGGAAAAAAAGGGAAAAAACCCCAAACTGATGTACTGAATCAAATATGGCTATAGAGTAGTCATCAGGCAATAAGAGAGTAGAATGATACCACTGTTTTTCATTCAAAAGATTGTATATCTTTTTGAGCATGAAAATAATTTTGACACAAGCAAAGCTGGCTAATGATGTTTGCTGAACAGGAAAAGAAGGGTTTACCATATTGCTACTAGCTTATTCAGCTCTTCCCATTGCTGAGATTTTGCTTTGCATTAAGTACAACATGTCAGAGCTTCCAAATGTAACATGACAACCTAGAGCATTTAACTGTAAACACAAAGATGGCCTTTGAAAAGACTTAAGGAACAACAAAAAAAGAGACTGAGAGAAGCAAGTACAAAAAAAATTAAAAACACTTAAAATATTCTTATGCATAATAAAAAGATCCTATATTTCATATCAGAAGTAAGAACCTTCTGTTTCTACTGAATCCAATGGCACCACTGTTATTGCCATCAACGGAATCAGAGTTCTTTGTTTTAAAATGCCAGTAGGCATCCAGCTGGTTTGCTGGAAGACTGTGATACACTTCTCTTCCATGAATACGGCCATAGCTAACCTCTGATACAAATCCAAGTTTCCTGATAGCCTTTCATAATATCTGGTCCCCCGAAGAGC